GGATCCTTTGGTAGTTATCCGGGAGATCGGTGAGGTCCATGTTCGGATTCTTTGGTCCCAGGGCATAAATGGACTAGGTTGACCAATCAGCGGCTCTTCTCTCAATTTCCAGCTCTTGTCGCTTTATCTTTCGGTCAACGAAGCGACACGCCCCTGGGACAATTCCAGTTCCGTCTCAAGTGCCCATCTTTACTTCTTAGTTATCTCCCACAACCCCGTCCTATCTTCTTCTGCTCGCAAGGCTCGCTCGGAGTTTGCTCGTAGCTCTAGCTCTTTCTTGCTAGCCTCCTGGGTGAGTTTGGCCACTTTCCTTTGAAGCTCTTTGATCTCCTCTCCCCTCTTCTCCAGCTCGGCCTTCTAGAAGTCCACCATGCGAAGCGTAGCATTCCTCTCCAACAAGTACTGGTTCACCTGAACGATGGACAGGTTCAATTCCATCTACATAGCCTCTAAGTCCCGTTTCAGCTGCACGTTCTCCTCTTTTAGCTCAACGAGCCCCTCAGCGGCTCCCAGTTAAGTCTTTTACTGGGCCAAGTGCATAGTAAGCAGAGACTACATAGCAAAGGGAACAGGGGATTAAATTCCATTTCATTGAAAATGTAAGGGAAATATAAGAAAGTCCTCGACGAGAATGAACCCTCTTACCTAGCTTTGCAGCTAAAATGCCATGGTCATCAAGTCCACAGGGTTGGAGGCCACAAACTGTTCAAATGCCTCTACAAGCTGGCATTCTAGTAGGGTAAACATCACTGGCTGCAAGTGCTCCGGGAATTGCCCCATAGAGTCCAGCACAGGTGTGCCAATTCCAGTAACAGGTGGCATCTCGCCCACCGTCTTTTTTCCTGCTCTTCTCCCAGGAGTTGCGGTCTCCCCTTGCCCCCTACGCGAACCTTTAGGGGCAAGTGTAATGCCAGTCGCGTGCCTAGGGGGCCCTTCCGAGTGAAAGGTCTGGTAAGGCTGTGACCTCCTAGGCTGAATGCCCAAGCCCTCCGGCTTGGACTCTGATTCCTGGACCTGTAGCTGCTTCCTTTTTCTTAGATTTTTGGGCCACAGTCTTCTGTTTAGGACGAGTAGCCGCAGGCTGAAGAGCGTTTGCTGGCTATTCAACGGGAGTTGGTGCTCCCACCAGTGCTCCTCCGACAGGGGTACCACTAAGGCCTGCTTCGGTTGGTCCCATGGCACCAATCCAAGGGAAGACGAACCTTTTGGCTCTCAGCGACCTGGGCACTTTGGGTGGCATGGTCGCTGCATGCAAACATTATTAGCAAAACAATTCACTGTATGCAAAGAATAAGATTGGCTAAGGCAACAGACACTTACTCAGTAAAGATTCCAAGGTCGCTTCGGAATTAAAAAAGTTGTACTTCCTCAAGTCAGAGGTCGTCACGAGAAGTTTTGTGTTGCGACTCTGATCAAGCAGAAGACCAAAAGCTTTTATCCTGTTAAAGTCAGTGAGAGTCGTCAACCTGGTCGTTTTTTTTCCTACGAAGACACGGAAGAGTTCGTTAGCAAAGATTAAAAGAAAAGAAATTCACTAAGTAAAAGAAGGGGAGACCTACTCGACTCCCTGAAATGGCAAATGCCATCATAATAGAAAAAGAAAAACTTCTTCTCATATGCCCCGACATTACTAGGGTAATTGAATATGCCTCCCTTGATCGTGGATCGCTTCGAGAGGTAATAAGAGTCATTGTCCTTGCTCTTTTTCAGATAAACGAGCAAGCAAGCTCTAGCACAGTCAACTCGCCAAGACCGCTCTCACCACATGTGATATACATAGCCACAACTATCATATATGCGTTGGGCGTCTGTTGTAAAGATGCAACCCCGAAGTGATCGAGGATCGACCTTATAAAGGGATGGAAGGGAATCAGTGCTCCGCATTTGAAGATATTCTCGGAGATCGCAGCCATTCCCTTTGGCGAATTCTGAGCTGTATGCGTTCTGTACTGGTAGACATCTACGCTAAGTGCGTATTGATCAACTACTTTTTGTATTTCCTCTCCGGTGGCCACCAACAGAATTTCTTGCGAGGGACCTGCTAGGGCGTCCTACACCGGCAAACTCGTCCCCTCGTCTATCCTAGTCGCTGAAGGGTCCATCTCTTCTACGGTCTGAAAAAGAGCGACATGCAAGGATTACTCAGTCTTTGTACAAAGTTTCGTATGATGACGTGGAAGAACAGAAAAACACAATGTGTCTTCCTTAAGCCCTAGAAAACCCTAAGAATCCTTCGGAACCACCCCCAAAGATTCACCCCCTAAAAGAAAGCCCATTCTCCGTTCGACCGCCCACAAACACCCACTGTTATCACATGGTTATCTACAAAACAGAAAAAGGAAAGTAATGGAAGGATCTTCCTTACCTCTTGGGTGTGGGGATTGAACTTTCTGCTATGAACATCAAATGCACACCAACTTGAAGGATGGAAAATCTGGTCTCGCGAAAGCTTCTTGCTTTTTCTGAAAGAGTGAGTGTTGCGACATTGCTTAAGGTGAGCCTGAGATTTTATAATGGAGAAAACAGCGATTGGTTTTCCCGAAGCCAAGCGATGTTTGGGCAGAAATCATCTCTCACCGTTGATCGCGACCACGTGTCATCAATCAGCCAGAAGGAGTAGCCGCCACGCTTCGAGAAATTCAATTGTCGCTTCTCTCCGTTGAAATAATCGAGCGACGGCTCATTTCCCTCCTCCACATTAAATGCGCTCTCATCCGTATTTAATGCCTTGATAAAGAATGTCGTTTCAGCATGACTTGCATTTAATGCGTATGGCTGGCACTTATTGCACACAGGACACGTTTGTCAGAATAAAGGGTACCTAATTAATGGATTAGCTACCAAGCACAACGAATAACATTTGAAGAGGTCGTTAGAACAGAACACTCTTCGTTGCATGTCAGTTGCGGAGCGATGTGATTCCTTGCCTTCAACAGAAATATGCTAAGTATAACCAGATCGCGGGCATCGGTTAAGATAAGAGGTGCACTGATATGACATTGAATAGGGTCTGATCCAGGTCGTCAACCTTGCAGAAGGAGACCATATCTGGTCGTTCATAGGAAAATGTGTTGCGACCTCCTTGTAGCCAGGTCGGATCGACCAGGCGTCATTCGGGACATATCAAATCAAGGCATAATTGTGAAGTTCTCAAGGTTCGATTCTCAAACCTTAAAAACTAGGGAACTTCTGTTATGCCTGAAAAAGTAGGGCTGACGCGGAGTCTTGTCAACATGGGGTGGTTAGAACTTAGGAAGGTTCTGCAACCGTTCAGACCCGGCCATGTCGCATAATGACGCAAGTGGCATGCCACAGTCAGTGCAGTGGGTAGGTGTCAGGTTAGCGGATGGCTGGAAATCGTCCACGTGTCCAATCCTTGCGAGAGTCAAGGAAATCACTCGAGCAGGTGAGCAATGGGACGTAGAGAAGGATTTGCACGGTACCCATCCACTTGCAGAGTTAGTAATCATTACCTTAGTTTATCCTACTATAAATAAAGGTCTTTCCTCTCATTTGCGGGATTAGCTAATTTTCCTCTAGAATAGCTTACTCTCTCTCTCTCTCTCTTGTATTCTCTAAACTGTAACTCAGTTTGTTGAACGCGACCTGACCTTACTCATTAATACAATATTAGTGGACGTAGGATTCGCTTTTGAGCATGCGAACCACTTTAAACATTGCCTTTCACCCATTATTAAATTCAATCCCATCATATCACGTGCGACTTCTAATTCTCTTTAATATTTCTCATGTGCAAATAGTTTGTGTCAAAATCAAGCATCAACAAAACAGGACACAACTTTTGCTTGAAAGGAGGAAGTTGACGTATTATCCTCTTTGTTAGCATTGCATAATGTATTGTTTATTAGTAGAAATGCTGCGAGTCGCCGTATAAGACTGGTATCACATTCTATAGTTAGTTACCCTTTTCTTGATACTTATGATGAATCACTTTTTGGTAACATGTCATTTTGCTTCATTATTTAACACCATTCTTTTTCCATTCAATGCCCGGTGGGCCTTTTTCCATCTTCTTCACAATCTTCCTTCATTAACAATACAATACATATTTGACCCTTTTCCACCTGATTCCATATTATTTAAGAACCCTTGGCGTTCTAGATACTTTCGTAATAATGAAGCTTTACATCAAAATAAATTAATTTATCACATTCTTATTTTATTGTTTAACTCCTCCACTAATAACTATGAAAATATAAAAGTAAAAAGCGAATACCAATGAGACTAAATCTATTATTATTATTATTTTATTTTTTATGATAGGAGTATCCAAGTTAATTTATACACATCTAACTAATTTTTTAGGACCCTAAAACTATTAATCAGATAAAAGTTCTAATGTCTTCGAATGAGATCATGAAAACTCGAATTCGAGAGACCATATTAAACATTCTCCTTGCTCTTTTATCGTCAAGAAGACTCGAACTTAAAAACCTATATTAAATTCTCTTTTACTCTTTTACTATTAGGTTACCCAATTATATAATTGAGATTACACTTATTACGACAGTGTGTTTTATAAATGTATAATCAAATAAAAGAGAACCTTTCACATTTCTGTTGAAGTATTTTTTAACTTTGTCTTAATTCAAATATCAAGTAAAACTGTTGGTGGGTTGAAAAAGTTTCTTGTCGTCTAGTCTCAAATCGACCACGGTATCGTAGTGGTTCGGGCGGTGAATGAGTTGTCGACTCAAAATGGATGAGATCTAAGAATGGTTCAAGGGGATAGAAACAAAAATCAGAGACTTTTTAGATTAATGAGAACGCCACACCACAATTATTGAAAACTAAAAAACAAAAGTAATGGCAACACTCAATGACGAAATTAGAAAACGGCCGCAACTCATTTTCTGCTCCATAAACATGCAAAAGTTCGACGATCCTGTAAACCAACTAGTATTTTATTTTATATCATAATTCAATCACTAGCAGATATTTTCAGTAATCGAAAGATTGAAAGGTCAAACCCTTTGAGATAACATTTCACTGTAGCCGTCGGATCAGATCACATGTCTGAAAAAGACACAACAAAACATGTCAATATTAGATTAGGACCAAAACGATGAAACTAAAGACAGCTTGATTTCTTCTGAAAGAAGAGCAGAAACAGCAAGTGGAAGTTGGAGCTTCCTGCTGTACGGACGAAATTCCGGGAACTCATTATGTAATAATGACAAATTTTAGCTTAACAAAAAGGAAGCTTTCATTTCAGTTGATGCTTTTTAATGGCAATCTTCGTCACCCATGTTACTATTCTTTCTCTTTCTTTAACTTCAACTTGCCGCATCCCATCCACGGCGTTTCTTCTCTCTCTCGTACACCCTATTTATGAATATTTATTGGTGGGTGTTTTTATCTCTTCGATTTGATCATATAATATAAGTTATAGACATTTCCAGCTCAGTTTTGGATGGATAATAAAAATGGGTTCTCGGATTATCAGTAACAACAGCAGCACATGTTGTATAGTTGCAGCCAATACCGAAACTTTCTCTTCATCAGAACATTTAAACACCGATATCTCGGCTTTTCGTCTTCTCTCCAGGAACCTCGAGTCAATCTTTGAATCACAGGATTTCGACTTCTACTCTGACGCCAAAATCGTGCTTTCAAGCGGGCGTGAAGTTTCGGTCCACCGTTGCATTCTCTCGGCGAGGAGTCCTTTTTTCAAGAATGTGTTTTGTGGGAAACAAAAAGGAGCCAAGTTTGAGGTGAAGGAGTTGGTGAGAGATTATGATGTGAGTTTTGATTCACTGGTTGCGGTTTTGGATTATTTGTATACTGGGAAAGTGAGGGCGTTGCCTAAAGGTGTTTGTGCTTGTGTTGATGATGGCTGCTCGCATGTTGGCTGTCGGCCAGCCGTTGATTTCATGGTGCAGGTTCTCTATGTGTCTTTCACTTTTCAGGCTCCTGAGTTGGTGACTCTTTATCAGGTGAAAATTATCTTGCTTTCATTTTTTAGTTTCTGTTTCATGTCTTCTCCACTTTTTATGTGTTGTTTTTGTGTAAATAATGGCAGTAATTTTAAAGCATTTCAATTAATTTGAAGTTGCTTCATCAAAATGGTTTTGGCGTTTTGCCTGCTTCAGATACAGAACATCCCCTGTCATGTTATTATTTATCTTCTTTTAATGCTTCATATTGATGTTAAGCAAAATTCTTCATGAATATAAATTTGTCTAATAACTTAATTGAATGTGAAATATTCAAATTATTTCAGATAAGGATTTGATATTTTCTTGTTCAATTGAGGCTATGTTGGTGTCTGAGTTATTATAACTTCAACTTTTTCCCATATAGAGAAAACAATTGTTAAAACTTCAGCTGCCGATATTAGGAAATGGCTCTGGCACTATCCACTAATTTCTTTTCTGAATAATTCTGTTTCTTTGATTGCAGAGGCATCTACTAGACATTCTTGACAAGGTTGCTGCGGATGACATCCTGGTGGTTTTGTTTGTTGCCGATAAGTGTGGTAAAGGTTGTGAGAATCTATTGGCAAGGAGTATAGAGATTATTGTCAAATCTGATGTTGATACTGTAACTCTTGATAAAGCCTTGCCCCAACACATTGTTAAACAAATCATGGATTCACGTTTAGAACTCAGCTCAGGAAGACCAGAAAGCTTCAATTTTCCGGACAAACATATAAAGAGAATACACCGTGCTCTAGATTCAGATGATGTTGAATTAGTCAGAATGCTATTGAAAGAGGCAGAGTCAAATCTAGATGATGCATATGCGCTCCACTATGCTGTGGCATACTGTGATGCAAAGACTACAACTGAGCTTCTTGATCTTGGACTTGCTGATGTAAACCACAGAAATTCAAGGGGCTACACTGTGCTGCATGTTGCTGCAATGAGGAAGGAACCCAAGATTATAGTATCTCTTTTGACAAAGGGAGCTCGGCCGTCAGATCTCACATTGGATGGTAGAAAAGCACTTGAAATCTCAAAGCGGCTCACTAAGGCTGCAGATTATTTAACCACTACTGAGGAAGGAAAATCTTCCCCAAAAGATCGGTTGTGCATAGAAATATTGGAGCAAGCGGAAAGAAGAGATCCTTTGCTCGGAGAAGCGTCTCTTTCTCTTGCTATGGCTGGTGATGATCTTCGGATGAAACTGTTATACCTTGAAAACAGAGGTAATTTCCGGTTAAGTTCAAAACTTTTCTTTTACTATCATACATTAGAATGACATAGGCCTTCTTAATGTCTAGATTACACTTTTGAAAGCTTATTCTGGTGTTCTTTTAATTTCTTCTTATATCCTTGATCTTTTTTCAAGTGTTTATTGATATCACTAAACAACCTTGGTGCTGGAAATTGAACAGAATTGTTAGTCCTAACAGAATTTCCTGCAAACAAGTAGTCCAAGATTTCTTCTCATGGAAATTATTCTGTCTCTTTCTTTCCTGCATTCTTTGTCAATCTTTTCTCTGGCTTAGTTCTATGATCAGCTAACTGTGACAATGACTCTACCTTCAGCATTTTAAAATATTCACATCTGCATACTTGTTTGTGTGTGGTTACCTTTAAAAACTATACCTTTTCTTGAGAAAACAAATATTTCTGTTAGGTCATTTGTATATTGACATACAATTGGTACTGCTTCAGATCTTAATGTGTGTACCTGGGAGGCTGGGAAGAAAAAAAAAAGTTGAAAGAGATTTGAGTTGATTTCCCCTTGTTCATTTTTTCTCCCCGCTTCCTTGAGATAAAAAAATAATAATAATAATTAAAAAAAAATGAAGAAGAAGAAGAACAGAGGTACTAGGAAATAGATTCATCTTCCTTTTTCCATCAGGTTTCGAGTAGCATGTTAGTGTTAATAATTAGGTTAATTTTTTGGCATGACGTCAAACTCATTAATCAGAAAAGGGTTCTTTGACATTTCTTGTTTTGAACCATCTCATGATAATTTTTCTACTGTTGGACCTCATATTTTCAGTTGGACTGGCAAAGCTTCTATTTCCTATGGAAGCAAAAGTTGTAATGGATATAGCCCATGTCGATGAGACCTCTGAATTTACATTAGATGTCATCAAGTATAAGAATATGGCTGCTGCCCACAGGACAACTGTGGACTTAAATGAGGCACCCTTCAAAATTCAAGAGGAGCATCTAAATAGGTTCAAAGCACTCTCTAGAACCGGTAGGATGCTTTCCATATCTCTGCATCATATAATTTTTGCTTCCTCAAACACCAGAAATTGTTAGAACATATAACTGGTTTAACTCACGAATGTTTACAGGGTTAGGACTGATTGTGTTGCTTTTATGTGAGCAGTGGAGCTCGGGAAACGCTTTTTCCCTCGTTGTTCAGAAGTACTGAACAAGATTATGGATGCGGATGACTTAACTCAGCTCGCCTGTATAGGGAACGACACTCCGGATGAACGATTCCTGAAGAGAACAAGATACAAGGAACTTCAAGAAGTTCTATTTCAGGCATTCAATCAGGATAAGGAGGAGTTTGATAGGTCTGCTATATCATCTTCATCCTCATCAAAATCTGTAAATTTGTTGAGCCATAATGCTGGTAATGCTCACTCATAACGATGCTTGGGCCTAATGCTGCCTTCTTGTATCATATACTTTCAACATTTTTCTTTTTCCCCTTTGCTAATGTACTAGTGCTACACAAAAGAATCAACGTTGCAGGCGTTCAAAACCAATTACTGTAAAACTGCAATTTTTGTTTTTTCTTGATAACAAATGTCCGAATATCAGTTTATACGTATTTTAATTAATCTCTAAGATTTATTGAATAACATCAAATAAATCTTAATGTTATTTGTAGTAAATAACTCAAATGTTTAAACTCATAAACTTTTAAGGAACGGAGCAAAACTCCTTTGCCAACTTTGTGGTTATCCATATGCAATTCTTGTTAAAATCATGGCAACAACATCTGGATCTTTGAATGTTTCCATAATTCAAACCCTGTTTTTCTCTGTTTAGTCTTTGACTCTTTGCCTTGTAAGGCAACTAACAACCACACCACCTTATCTTAAAACAACTTTTAGTCACATCACATCTAAAAACCTTACCCAAATCAGACCCCCCTGGGCCCCCACCATATCCGAACATAGCAGCTCTACGTGTGTCCACAAAAGCGTTGCCACGTGGCATGGCTTTCAAAGCACATGTATTTTCCTAGAATTTTCTAGTCAGCCAGCTGTATTAAGTATTATTAGTATAATTATCCACTATGTCCCATTTTGGGAAGCATACAACATATCAATAATCAAATCCTTTCTAAATGTTACTGCACATTGTTGCTAACAATTAAAAGTTTAATAGAGGTGATTAGCAATTTTCAGGGAAATATTAAGCTGTAGGAGACTAAAGATATGAAGCACGGAATAAGGCTCTGATATTGTCATTTCAAAGAAGCAAATTAAAAACTCTGCAATTGAACCCAAACCCAAAGATATACCACTGAAATTATTCACACCACAGTCAGTATTTGAAGGACGTAGAGGAAGCCTAGCTAATGTCATATATGACGGTATAACAACAGAAATTTTCACAACCTAAGGCAGCAGACAAACAGTGACAAAGGACTGTACACTAAAAGAAGAGGTGAAAAAAAGGGAAGATTTTATGAACATTAGGGGAATAGACCATAAATCCCTTGTCTTGAAATATGGTCTAAAATATGTATTCTCTTACTCCACCTGAAATTTTCAACTGGTCTATGCAGAGCCATGCATGCACTTCATCTCCAGCTCGTCACCATTTTATCAGCAATGGTATCCTACACGGTACCAATGCATGCATACTCATCAAATTATTAACTGCATATGGTATTAAACCTTATGCGATATAAAGAAAAAGCAAATGTAACATACCAATGAAATGAACAAACGCATCAAAGCATCGGTCCAACACAACCATGCTCCACTAGCTCAGTTACATATCCAGGCCAACTACAGGGCTTCTCGATCAAATTCTCCAACTCATGAAATATCTGAGTGTCGTTAACAGCCAGTTCTTCATCAACCATATTTTCAAGAACTGAACTGTCCCCAAGTAGGCTTCCCACCAACACGCGATATACAGATGATGTATCTTCATCACTTGTTTCACTCATCACATTGCCCTTCAGATCCTCAATATGATTGCACAATTCATTTTCACAATCCATAGCACCAGGGAATGGAGCCTCTTCAATAGTATCAGTAATTACAGTACTACTGTCTGGTAACATATCAGTGAGCTCAGATTGCATTGATGCCAATATTTCCTGAGCTTGATTTCTACAATTGACACGGTCAGGCAAGTTTTCAGTCTCTTGGGCTGCAAGCAATCTCCTTCTCTTACTAATTTCACCTCCATCAAGCTCTCTCTGTTGCTTTCTCTTCCGAATTAATTGTTGAACGAAGTTGGGGTATTTGGCTACTTTGGCAAAGAAACTCAACATCTGTTGCTGCTTACACTCTGCACATCGTACACGTTCCTCAACCGCAGTAATTTGATTCTGTGAGTCCTCTTGTTGCTGTCTCAGTTTCAAAATTTCCAATCTCAATGTACTGTGATCATCCCTTAAACCTTCAAGCTCAGCTTCCAATCCAGATTTGGTCAAATCAATACAAGTTATTACCCCATCTTGTTGTTTGTTAAGTCTACTTCTTCTTTTGATGCTTTTAAGCAAATGCTTCTTCCCTCCCTGAAACTTCTCATTTGCAAATTCCCATCTATCCGAATGAATCTTCCTAAAACCCTGAGATACAATTTTTGTCACCGATATTAAAAGCATATCCAAAAGAGTACTGAAACTCATATGAAAAACCAAAAAACTAAAAATTAATAAATGAATAAACGAACACCAATTTTCAAAATAAAAAAACTCATACACACAATAAAATATTTGTAAAACACAGATTCTAACTTACATCACTAACAATATAGTACAACTCCCACATGAATGATAACTACAAATAATTAAAACCGTAAGGCAGAGTTCCTGTGATACATATTTGCTTGATTCAAGCCATTTGATTTGGCAATGGCTAAAATCAAGCTAAACAAACATTTACAAAACAACTTAACAATATTCATAATATCATATACCAGTGCCAGCAGTTATAAAAGTTAAAATTAAATATAAAAAAAAAGACATGAATTTATACTGAAATTGTGATCCTCAAAAACTTACATAAGTGTTGAGCTGGCGAATGAAGCTAGAGAAATTCTTGTGCTTGAAATACTTTGGAAGAAGAGTTTCAGAAAAGTCATGCGAATCCCAAACAATAAAGCTACTACGATTCGCACCCCACGAAACAACCGAGTCAGTCTCCGGATCCTCCACCATCTCATATATCTTCCTCAGAAACGGCGGGGGACCTAACTCGTTCAGCCCTTCCATTGGCTTCGGCAAACTCACCGATGAAGTGGAAGAAGATGACGATCCATTTGAATTAATATAACCACCGTTAATATCATCATAAACACCGTCTGCCACGTCATCATCTTCCTTCTCTTGTTTGATCATCCCCGCCTTCTCAGCTTCATCATCTTTTGGAATTTGAAAAGATGAGCATGTGTTATTGGCGTTGAGCACTGCCATTTGGTCCGGCTCTTCTTTTGCTGTAACATTTTCTGCTTTGACTATCAGTTTAGTAGGAGAAAATGACAACAAAGTTCCACCAACATCGCCGCCGTCACCGCTAACACAAGACGCCACCATGTTTTCGCTCTCCTTTTGTGAAGTGATAATTGTGAAGTTGGACACTGCCTTTTACTGTGTGAGAGATTTTATGTGTTTTAATGCAACTGAATTTTTTTTTTTTTTTTTCTTTGCTTCTGCCATTTGTGCGTAGCTCAGCTATTTTTTTATGGACTGACTCACGTAAGTTTCTGAAATTCTCTTCGGCCCCTGTTTTTGTTTGGATTTTTCACTATAGGACAATAACAGACATATCCACTGCCAGCCACGTGTTCCTATCGGTGATGCGTTTTCATACACCCGAAGTTGAATGTTATTTCCTCTGAATTCTGATGATGAAATCTATACCCTTGGATTTTTCCTTTTGTTAAAAGACACAATTGAGATACGCAATTTTCAATTCACGCGCTGTTAAGAGCGTGAGTTACGTCCCAATGGTAGGGTGTGTCGTGGTATAAGAAGAGAAAAACATTACAAAGTATTGTCATTTAATGAAGGACTCTTGGCCTTGTGTATATTATCTATGTCTGATCCAAACCTGACAATTGTTTTAAATTCAATTCTATCTACACAGTCCTTCCCAAGCAATAGTTGATTTTGCAGCGTTGGATGTGCGAAATTGGATGGTCATGATGAGCCGGTTTTTGTCGGTTCCTTTTCGGCATGTATCCCACGTTTCACTGCGCTGTCTCACTTCCACTGGCGACCCACATTGAATTAGAAACAGAGTAATTAATTTAGATATTTTATTTAATTACAAAATGGAGCGAAATATCTCAAATTAATTCAGTAAATGAAATTTCAATGAGTGTGGGCATAAGAATCGTTAACTTTTTATTACTAAGATTCTGCCACGTTTGCTGAAAATGTGATATTGTCTGGGGAGATTGCTTTAGCATTGACAAAAAGGTTCTAGAAGAGATGTTACCAGAGATTGACAAGTGGCAATCATATAAGTGAGTGGAGGTGAGTAAAGCATGTGGATGGGCTTCGTTTGGGGCTGACCATGAAGCATATGGGCCCAAGCTAAGACGTGGCCCGAACTCTTCCTCTAAATTGTCAATTTTGTTGACAAAGATTAGAGAATTTTGTAGTTCAGGCGTACGGTACCAACCCCAAATTGAAGAGATAAGGTTGTGTTAAAATGAAAAGAACCCTGATTACTTAACAAAAAAGAAAAGAACCCTGACCTCATTGGGCCACATCGTCTGCAACAATTGCGGTAAACATTAATTAAGCTTAACTTAGGCTTAGGTGAAGTTATGAGAGAGTAATTTGTAATCTGTTTTAAGTAAATTTTATAAGAATGTTATGAATATTTAAAAAAATAATAATAATAATAATCTACCAAATTTATAATTTAAAATTTTAGAATATATAGCATCATTCTTGAATATAGATTCAAGTACTTTTATTAAATTTAAAAAACGTTTAGTAAACATATTATATGCTTTCATCAAACTCTACGCTTCCACCTACACCTGAACATTTACACCATGGCCACTATAAACTACATCATATTACAATGTTAATTATTTAAATTATACAAAACAAATATCATTTTAAGTCATATTATTATTTTTTTAAATATGATCATAATATATATTAATGAGCAATTATGTTGTGTAGTTAGAGAGTTGTAATTTAGTTTGTCAGAACATCTCAAAGATTTTAAAGAATATCTTTCATATAAAGAAATAATATATTTATTAATTTTTAAATATAAAAAATAAATATCTTACTCAAATTCAATATACTCTTTAAATTTTAATAAGATATTAATGTAGTAACCTTAAATATTAAAATAAAATTGATAATTATTTTATTAAATTTTGACTTATAATCTCTTATGATATCATTCATCCTTAATAAATTTCTCTTTCTTTGTTATCTCTTAAAATCATTCTTGTCCTACTTTGTTCCCCTTCAGTAAGGATCACATTTGAAAAAAAAAAAAAAAAAAAAAAAAAGAGCAAACAAATTTTTCCCGCCCAAATAATAGTTTAATAATAATTTTCCACTCACAAACTTTTAAATTACCATTTTACTATCCAAATTTATATTTCATTTCCGATTTCAAAATCTTTGTAACCTCACACCACCATCATTCTCTTCCCCGATCATCACTCACTAAAACCAATCAAATCTTACTTCTATCAATCCTACCAATCATCGACAATTGAGTGATTAGGATTTGCGCATCTGTCCCCTCCCAAGTCAAATTCCAATCAATTCATCCATTAAAATCCAACGTTCCACCACCAAAAGACTCATCGGCTTCCCTTTTTTAAAATCTCCAACAACTTAGACTGAGTTTACTCTCTGTTCGTTGTCAAAACTTAAATTTGGATAATAAAATAGTATTTTAAAAGTCTATGAATGAGAAAGTGGCATTAAGTCATTATTGGGGTGGGAAAAAGTCGTTAACTCAGAAAAAAAATTTGTAAAATATAATTTTTACTAATTTCCGTTTAAAATATGTATTTAATTTAAAAATATAATAATGGAGTTTAGATAAAAAATTATTGTGTTAAACATTTCTATTCCTAACTATAAATTTAAGACAAGCCACTTTTGTATGATTTTTTTTTTTTTTTTTTTTGATAACCCGAGTGTCTGAACCAGTTTACGCGTACTTTAACAAATCTCCAGAGTCAAACTTTTGTATGATTCCTCAACAAATTTTGAAACACCCAATTTCATCTCTCTCCATTTATATACAAAGAAAATGAAATTAGTTATATCAATCAATAACTTCGAATGATATTTTACAAATAAGAATCTGGGTCTTATAATCGGGAGGGTCCTGACTAGAGAATTGTTATATATACGTATATACATACACGGATATTCTCGAGTCAAGAGCATCCTACTACAGTATATACATGGTTTAGATAGACTTTTAAATTTTTAACTTTTCCATTTTCATTAAGCCAATAACCAAAACAAGATCACACATCTCCCAGATAAGAGATTATTTCAAACTGAACAAGTTGTAGCATACAGAAACTGAAGCACATATAATTTACAGAATGCATGGTAACATATATGAATTAACAGACGCATAAAACCTGTATATTCTAAAAATCAATGACAGGGACTGAAAGCATCTGCTTCATAAGTTACCAAATACTATCTTGCCGAGACCATCCGAGCCACGTGAGTGGATTGATAGGATGAAAGCTTCAACGGTTCCTGCTATTTGCATTTTGCAGCAACAATCCAATCTGAAACCAAGGTTTGAATTTCTGACTGCATTGTTGAAGATAAAGAAAAGGGAGTGACAGCAACCTGTCATGCCAAAAGGTAAAGACACTAAGCCAATTGGAAAGGGGGTTGGTTCAAATACTAAAACCAGGAGCATGTTAACTCACAAATCCATCTTCAACAGCTCTAAAATCTAGATCATCATCTACATTTTCTGACTCCTTCTCCAATAACTGCATAGAAGAATATGATCACTCATCACGCATTGAGTTCCATTAAAATAACCAAAATTAATGCAAAGTAAAATGGAGAATGAGAGAGATGATGAAGCCATCTAAAAAAGTCAATTCAATTACTGATTGTCATTTTACTTCTCTGTTAGCTTTTATAATGCAATAATAATTTTAGATTAGAGGTTTTGCCTTCTACCAAACCTCAAGATTTATTTATACCTCTAAACGGAAGTATTTTTTTACTTTTTGCTGAGTATTAAACTTTCCTGCAACCCCAATAGATTCAATCTCCACATTCTTCCGATGTGAGTTCAACCGCCGTGCTGCACCCTGTAAAATTCAAAATGGATTACTTATCTGCCGAATGAAGAGAAACACTGAAATAGTGTCATTTCCACTAGAGCAACTATAGCATTTCTAGTATCAAAAAAGGAGAACTTACAGCTGCAGAGGCATCCCGACTGAGCTGTGCAAGCTTAATACCAAGGCTTTGCTGGTTGGACATGAAGTGGCCAGCTGAAGGATGTCTGTTTGCGGATGCTGCTTGCCAGCTTAGAGATGACCTACACATACTCTGCTTAGTCACCTTCAATCCCTGTCAAACATAGATTATACTTCATTACATGAGTCATACTCACAAATGGAAAACAAATACTTCAACATGGCCCGGACACTTTGGTTACCAAAAAAAAAAAAAAAGTCAACATTATAGCCAAACCAAGCCTGTTTTGCTATAGGATAATTATTACAGAATAGGAAATTGATGAATTTTTTGCAAGTCTAGTTTGACATTCTAACCCTTATTTTGTGGCACGAACCTTTGTAGGCAACAGAAAACCAAGAAGGCCATGCAACGTAAATGTTACATATTGAAACATATAATCTGTGTTTTCAAGCCTATTTCATAATTAAGAATCAAACACAAAAAAATAATAATAATAATAATTAAGCCCAACTCCACATCTACTATTACTCCTTGTCCATTCTGTCCATTGATGGCAATTTTATCCACTGAACTAGCCTACTTTGCACATATAACGATAATTGAAACAAAGTTTTTTTCTTTTCAAAGCATATCCTGAAAATAAATTTCAATTATGGAAAGTGATAAATGGCCTTTGAACTGCACCAGTTACAAATTCAAGTAAATCCATCTCACATGGATGAAAATTCATTTGGATATAAATTTATTAACACTCAAGTATATAAACATGAGAATCACTAGTTTAAAGTATATTGACAAGAAAAATAAACAAATTTTTAACGAAAACCAAAATACTTGACTCCAAATTCAAAACTGCAAGAAAAACTGTGAAGAGCAAACCTTGTTAGTTAAGGGAGTAATGGGAATGTCCACACTCAATAAGCAACCTTTTGGATAAATCCCGCTCTCAATATCTTTTACAGCTGCATATATCAATGGTAAACAGACACTGGCTGCATCTTTTAGATCACTTTCAGAGCTCACATCCTTCTTCCTGGGAGAAATTTTAACCTTGCTATATTATAGATGCTTGACAAAGTAATGTAAATAAAAGCACAAATATACTTCAAAATTGACATTCACCAGTTTAATGATAGGCAAAGCGAAGGTACACCACATATCAGGGCCTCTCTAGCTCCAGCAAAAGCCCCAGAGTAGAACCTGTATAGCCATGGAATTCCCAAAATAAATAAAACCTGAACAAATTGCTACCACAAAAATTGCGATAGCAAAATTGTGATTTAGATCACAGTTAGCTAACAGTGTTGTGATTCAAGAGCCTAAAATGTAACAAAAATGAAAGGCAGCATGCAGCTTACATCTTATGGCCACAGCTTGATCCCATGTTTATTCCGCTGATTACCTGAATTTTTTAAGATAAATGAAACCATTTACACCCCAAAAAAAAAATAAAAATAAAAACTTAAAACTAAATCAACCAACTGCATACCAAAACTGGCTTTGTCCAAGAAAACAATGCTCCAGATAAAGCTAAAGATACACAATCCGCAGGAGTCCCTAATCACAAACATCATCAATCAAAGTCAAACACATTTCCCAAATGCCAAATCTTGTAAATAAAAAATCATGTTGGCGTTGTGACTTTCAAATAAAAAAACACGTGGAATTACCAGAAACTTCAAAAGCAGTAGCGCCATTCATTTCAACTGAACTCACAGCAAGAGTCTCTCTCACCGTCACAGAATGACCTGACGCCGATTTATCCCTACAAAAAAAAACCGATTTCATTATAACTACCACATTTTCATGATGGTTCAAAATCTATAGTTCAATTAAAAAAAAAGGTAAATAGGTTTGAAGTGAACCGACGATTGAGGCGCGCAGACATGGACGTTAAACAGACAATCACGCACAAGAGCTTCGACGAGTGATGTGAGTCCAGGAGACTCTATTCCTTCTCCGTTTGTTAACAATATCACAGGCTTCTCACTATCCTTCTCTACATTAGCCTCATCGCCGTTATTTGAACAGCATTTTCCGTTTAATTCCTTGGACTTGGAATTGGACTGTTCTTCAACGGCGTCGTTTCTACTGATGAGTACTTGCTGAAGATTCGAGATCAGCGCGGGAGGCATGAAGTTGTTCTTTACAGAAGTCGTCATTGTCAGATTAGAGATTGTTTTGAATTTTGATTGGAAAAGAGTAAGATACGGAGAGAACTTGAGAGAATTGTTGCAGGAGTGTGTTATTATATTTATCAATAATATTATTCTAAATAAATAACAGTGTGTTATAAATATAAGTTCAGTGAAACAGGCGGTCCAAAGAAGTTACTGGACCGGTCGTTTTTCTGGATTAAAAGTGACAAACAAATAACAGTGTGACACGTACGATAGGGGAACAAATTTCTGATTTTTCGGTTGAATTTAGAGAGACTTTACCCCACACCTTTAGAAGTTTGTCTTCCGTCATCACCGGGTTAGGCCAAACACGTTTTGTTTTGATAGGAAAATTTTAAATTAAAATTTCCTTGAAATGTGGGTTAAGTTATGTAATTTTTGTAAATTAAATAATAAAAAAAAAAGGCAATAGGTTTAATAGGTGCTTCACTCAATCTATCACCCTAAGTACAAGTGACTTAATTAGTTCTAAGTTAACTAATTTTGTTATAATTTAGTTTCAGTAATGAAAAATCTTGATTCACATATCTAAAACAAGAAAGAATTAATTACAAGTAGGGATAGGTTAGGACCCTATAGTGTTAGAGAGCTTTTATGGTTTACATTATGCCCATGTGTATTGATTACTTGGTGAATTGGCAATTTGGTGTGGAGAGATTATTGAGCCAAAATGAAAGGCATTAGGTTCACTAATAGAAGCAACAGTGTTAATGCCATGTTTGGTGATACATTTATGTGTATTACTCCCTTTGCAATAAGACTTGCTTATAAGTAACTATTGATTACAAAATAATACAATATCCTTAAAGTTAATTATCAACTTTTTTTATATTTAACACTTTAATGTCACTTCTTATGTTTGAATTTGCTTCATTTGTTCAAATGCTACATATCAGGGATTAGTAAAGAAACAAGTCAGAAAATTGTTGGTAGGTTAACTGTTAACATCATTATAATTGAGTCAATTGACAATTAAATTGTTTAATGTTACGAGAATTCAAATAAATTTGAATCCGGGAAAAGAAACTGAATTGAAAACAGTGATCATGTACTCTTCTTTTTTTTTTTTTGTTTACTTTATTTGCTTTTCAATTTTGAATAATAAAGCACTGCATTTTCACGGTGACATCCAACAAGGCCAGCCCCACATTTGTTATAGGCCCACCCACAGATTAAATTGTCAAACGTCTACCCCTCAAAATCCTAACCAAATTTAAGGCTCTGCGCAAATGGCTCCACCTTTCCAACAATTCCCCAACTGTACAACACATATCACTTCACATGGAAATGCCTAAATGTGAAATAATCTAAATGAGTACTACACTATGGTACAAATGTAATTTAATTTTTGGTTTCAGGATTTTAGACAACATTGACAGCAAAACTTTTTTCAACTCTTCACCAGATCCAAGAATAATAGTAGTACGACTGGCATCATGCTGCATGCCACCATCTTAAATCTTAATCAACCGGCATTACAGTACAAGATATCTTTGGATCATGCTCTTACAGATAACCTTATAACTTAATGCTTATTTATCTGAGGCTATCCAACAATGGTTAAAATCGACCAACCTTTGGTGCGCAGGAATGGACTAAAGATTATGGCTTAGATTTTAATTAGATTGAGGAAGATACCAGCAGGTCCATCATATCAAATCTAACCCATCTCCCTTCCATGGGATAAAAGATCAGGTTGGCCATTGAAAAATAATGTCCAATCCATGAATGTGTCAAATTATGCAGAGTTCCGATAATGCAGCCCAATCCTACTGACAAACGCAGCTTAGAGTTTGGACATGCATGATCCAAACTCCAAAGAACCTTCATATCATTGCACTTGCAGCACAAATGCAATGACCTTTCTCATGAAAAACAAAAAAAATATATATATATATATATCCTATTTTAGTTTTACCTCAAAATGAAGGAAACGAGCTTCCCGTTGTGTAAAGATTTTGCTTTAAAAATAATCCTTTAATCAAAGGGCCAGTCCAGTATCGACACTGCACATACAGTAGTAACTGTCGATCTCTGCCATTTGATGATAGACTTGTAACATAGAGCTGTCCATTTGTAATATGTTACAAGTTACCATTTCACATGAGGTAGTGATACCTATCAGAGCATTATAGTCAAATCCTCAATGTAATGTAAATAAAGCACCATGCTCTCAGAAGTACACATCTCATTCCAAAGCATAAATACACTTACAATTCAGATATTCTCTCCACCGAACAAGATGATGCCTCACCTTTTCTCTCTTAAATCTTGTTCATTGGAACTTAAAAGTAAAACAGCCATATCTAAACCTGCCACAGAATTTACCGTGAAAAAAGTATAAACACCCTTATACGAAATTGTTAAACAAAAAAAAAATGGATTGATTTCTTAAACCATTTCAAGTTTTCAGCACAGCACACAATTAACGAATAGAAAACTGACAACAGGCCAGGTGGTTGATTTCCATATAATAAGACATCAATGCAACCATTACTAGAGAAAGATGCACAGTGCTTCCTGATAGCAAAGTTAGGTTCACCAAATAAAAGAAGGCAACCACTGAGGATTATTACCAAAAATGAACAATTTAATAGGATAAACTTGCAAGGCTCAACTTTAAGATGGTAATCACAAAAGATTGGATTTTCACCGAGCTAAAATCAACAAACAGAATTATGCACAATTAGCCAAACTGAGATTAATAAGAGCTGGAGAATCTCGGGCTGCTGAGCTCCTAGCATCCACACCTGAGACTGGGTTTCATCAAGATACCAAATGTGCAGCCTTCAAACATGTGGCCAACCTAAATTTCAGAATGTGATCAGAATATATATGAGCCAAACGTTATGGAGAAAAATTTATTATTCCTCACAGTTGCCTTGTAAAACTGCAGCTATAAAATTCGACTAATATTGTAAATTATTTTCAATGGTTAGTTTCTGTCTGGCAAACCAACAGCTGCTAATGGTAAAGCACTAAAAGGTGAAAGCCATCGTCACAAAGGTAGAAGTAAAACATGTACCTGCTTATTTGGTGACAGAATACAAGTGACAGCAGCAGCCGGATCAATCTGTCAAAAAGTGTACAAAGACCAAGACTATAAACATTTAAGAATCAGTCACATGACCTGTGATCTAACTGCATCTCAAGCATATACTTCATGAAACAGTTGGCACTCGTGTTTACTGCTTTGTTTTGCCAAGACTAGACAAGAAGTCTAAAATTTTTGAACCTTTTGTTAAGTCATTAAGTTGACCTCCACTGGTACCAGCACCACTGCCAGTATCATCATCTCTTGTTTGATTATTGGACCCAGTACTGAGTGCAGACAGATTTATTTTCCTTTCAGTTTCAATCTTTGCTGCAAATGCTAGAGTCGACATGAGTGCCCTCTGAGATGAGTTTGGAGTGCCTTTAGAGTGCCCACATGCTAGATCTGAAGAGTGACCTACAGCAAGTAGGGAAGCCAGGGGCCTCCGTGGAATTGCAGTAGAGTTTTGATGTTCATTGGGGGTATTTTGACTCTCTTCAAGCAATCTATTGATACCCTTATCCGAACTGGAAGGCAAACTAGCTTGTTTATTACTAATAGAGTCATCTGTTAAAGCTTTTCTGATAGAGAGAAAGTTCAGTCCCTGTGGAGTGAATGCAGGATGAGTTTTCTTCAGCATCTCTTTTGAATTTTCAGTTGCACTTGACATAGTTTGGGTTTTCTGGTTCCCAACCTTGACATTATTTTCTCCATTGTGCGATGAGCCAGCTTGTTTATTTACACCGAAATTGTTTAATAGCGATGATTTTACACCATTTTCCCTACTCAAAAGCAAGCTAGCTAATTTTTTACTACCGGAATCTGCCACTGGAGTGTTGCCAAATGAAAGAAAATTTACACCCTTTGGTGCGGCTACAGGTGGTGTTCTCTTTGGCGTTTCATTCATATTTTGAACAGTGCTCAATGCAGTTTGTTCAGTCTGATTCCCAACTTTGCCACTGCCATTCCTCTTTGGAGATGAGCTGCCTTGTTTAAGTTTACTGGATTCAAGCAATGATGATTTCCCAAAGAAGAGACAACTTACACCTTTGGGTGCCACTGCAGGTTGTTGCACAGGCACTGCCACATTCTGTTCTGTATTTTTGCATGAAGAAACTTTTCTACAGTTGGATAAAGCATCAAGGTTCTGATGGGAGAATGGATCAATGTTTGCTTGCTTCTGGGAATTGGACATATGAACCAGGGATGGAAGCTTCAGTTCATGTTTGGAAGCACTAGAAGTGGAAGGGCCATCTTCCTTGGGTAGCACCTGAAGCATATACACGCAAATACATACTCAATCAGCTAACCCGGACAAGCCTTAAAACCCAATTACTTAAGGAAATTATGTAACAAGTATATTGAAAAAAGACAGCAGCACGCAATAAGTAACATTTTAGAAAAGTAAGAATGTACCTTGTGTGAAAACATACAATCACCACCTCTGTTGCAAAAGCCTTTAGCCACAAAGTTGTTACAGGGATACTTAAAGAGCTGATGATCGAATGGACAGTCATCCCCCTTCATGCAGGAGTTACGTGCAAAATGACAGCATGGCTGCACACCAGAATGCAAGACAGAGAATTAAGCATCAGAGAGTCTGAAATATCCATGTAAAACACAATAAAAGAAAATCCTAGATAACATTCTTTTAATGGGGAAGCGGTACAGATTCAGTATACTGATTACAGATTGATAGAAATGCAAGCACAGATGCAAGCCATAGACACAATCAACAAATCAATATATCATAGTAAATTTGAGCAACATAGCCTCTGGTAGGTTACAGAAGTAACTAGTGGAAAAAATCCTCAGATAAGATTGCATTACTAGAATAGCATGAGTAATGTATATGGTTAAATGACCATACCTTGGACTTTGTTAAAGGTACTGCATCATGTGAAAATTTGCAATTGTCAGCCTGTGAAAGCCAAAAAAAAAAAAAAATGATAATAATTAGCAGAGAGCTAAGGAAAGAAAACTGAAGGAGACTTGATTATTTGATTGCAATCAAATATATGTCTCCTGAAAACTCATTTTTACGAAAAATCACAAGGAAACAAAACAATAAGTTTTTTTTTTTCCCTCCCTCTATAATTCCTTTTATCCAACCATTTCCTTCCCTTCTATTTATATACAACTAACCAGAAAAGTGTGTAATAGCCAGACTACATCATAATTTCTTAAAAGCAAAATCAGTTCCACTATTACTCCTTTAATTAACAGTTTATTGAAGTCGGTGTTTAAAATACAAGCAGTGGTTACCTGAAAACACACATAAACACTACAATAATAGGATATAGTGACCAACCCAATGCAATTCATTGACATCAACTTTAAGCTATTAGATACATGTCCAACAACAATATTTAAGTCTTAACAAACCCTCTTACATGTAACATAGCCCAAACAAATGACAGATAGATGAGCCAAGCAAACACTAGAGTATATAATAGCATGTTAAAATTATTAGGTAAGGTACCAACATTAATACTTAAGTCTAGTATTCAATACCGCAAAAGAGAGACAGTTGATCATGATAAACAACAATAAAATGATCAATAAAAACTATTTCGATACATTTTTCTACATGCAGATCAACATACATCTGATGCAAAATAATCAAAAGGCTATATAAACACCACAAAAATAATGGAAACGGGAAATTGGTACTACCTCCTGGCATCTTCCCATAAGGTAATGACGGCAATACGTTACAGTTTTTGGTTTCAGAACCGGACGCAGTTTCAACCTTTTAACGCCAAGCTGTCGATTCTTTTCTGCTCGCTTTTTTCGTTCTTTTTGCTGCAAAAAGGATCCGATAAATAAACTAGTTATATACATCAGAAGCACATAAAGAATATCAGCCGCAGACAAAGTAATGGTGACTCTTTGGAACATATAGCACATATTAATTTTTCAGATGACTACGAAGAAATCGATAATGAATTGTCTTAAAAAGTCTTGCATCCCAATCAGAAATTAATAAGCTGCATATAAAAAAATCCATTCACACATCCAAAAGAAAAAATATGTAGAAAATATACCTTTTTCTTTGCTTTCCTTTCCTTTGAGGGAGCACTTCGCTTTTTCTTATTACGGACACTAGAATCCAGCTACAGAAAGTGAACAACAAACCACACTAGTTAAAAGTAGACCAAATTATCAAATAAAACTTAATCATTGTTAAATAATTAAAAACTTCCCCTTTTTCAGCCTCTCCAATCATTCCAACAAAACCGTAGAGAAAGAATATTACATATGCAGACAAGAGAGAGGAGAGATACTCATGATACGTAGTTTCTTCCAGAACAATATTGTGCCTACTTAGTCAAGTCACCAAAACTTATTCATAGTCAAGTCACCAATACTTATTCATGTTATAATTACAACATTACAAAATTTTGAATAACCAACATGAAGGTGGTATAACATATCATGACAGAAAAGATCATAAAAGTACAACAGAATGAAGCATACCAATAGATGTACCTATACCATTTCACAATATACTATCGTGGAAAAACACAGAAATTAAATTGTAAATTAAGCACTAAAAGAAAATGCAAAATAAAAAAATACCTTCTCTTCAGATGTAATTCCTCGCTTCTCAGTTGCGCTTAGCTCTAAGACTTCCACACGCATTGTTGGATTGTTAGGATATATTGCTGGACAAGCAACACTCCCCTCATCTCCACTGGATTTCCTTTTATTTGTTCCAGCTGCTGGCACAGAAGTATACCTCTCTTCATCTGTAGCCATCTTTGAGGTTCCATGCACAAAGTTTTTGGATTCACACTGTTTATCATTTCTGAAACTTTCTTTGAGTTCCATTGCTCTACCAATATTGGCATGATTCACAGTAAAAGCAGCAGGATCAGAAAATATTTCATTAGCTCTGTTTTGTTCATCACAAGAAAACTCTCTTTTATCAATTACATCTTCAGAAACTTGCAACCTATCTTTCTTCTCCTCTGACAACACAGCACTTTTAAAAAGCATATCAATTGATGCTTCATCAACCTCAAAGCCACCAGAAACTTCTTTCTCTTCAACATCTACATCTTTGGCCACATAATTATAGGAAACCATTGCACCATCAGTATGAACTAATTTCTCTGGTACCATCTCTTTTGGCCGCATTTCAGGCTCTGCTTCCACGGCATTAGTCCTCAATAAAGAACACCCGCCTTCACTTTCGTCACTCGGTTTTGGAAGTTGACAATGCATACTTCTATCTACAGAAAAATCAACTGGTTCAGAAATCTTTAGATTACATTGTATTTTCTCTACTTGTAGCTGAGCCTCTTTCCCAAATTTCTCATTAACAATTTGCTCAAAGTCAACATTTTCTTTTGGGTCATTCATCAAGACAGCCTCACCACTCTGGTTCTCATCCATAGATGCTGCTGAGACACTACTAGTATTCTCTTGAACAAGTTCTCCATTTCCTTTTACAATATGCTCTAATTCATCCATCAACATTTGTTGCCGATCAAATCCCATGTCTTGGGAACCAGTGCCGTCAGCAATATCACTAGTCATTGGGTCCCTTTTCAAAAAATCATCATTTTCTTCTATTCCTAATATATGATCTATCTCATCATTTACAATTAGCGTGTCACCAGCTTCAAAGGTTTCCTTGACAACTGCGTCTTCATTCTCAGGCACTGCACAATCAGGACCGACCAATTCACCTTGCTCTGTTTATGTCTGGCAAACCAACAGCAGCTAATGGTAAAGCACTAAAAGGTGAAAGCCATCGTCACAAAGGTAGAAGTAAAACATGTACCTGCTTATTTGGTGATAGAATACAAGTGAAAGCAGCAGCCGGATCAATCTGTCAAAAAGTGTACAAAGACCAAGACTATAAACATTTAAGAATCAGTCACATGACCTGTGATCTAACTGCATCTCAAGCATATACTTCATGAAACAGTTGGCACTCGTGTTTACTGCTTTGTTTTGCCAAGACTAGACAAGAAGTCTAAAATTTTTGAACCTTTTGTTAAGTCATTAAGTTGACCTCCACTGGTACCAGCACCACTGCCAGTATCATCATCTCTTGTTTGATTATTGGACCCAGTACTGAGTGCAGACAGATTTATTTTCCTTTCAGTTTCAATCTTTGCTGCAAATGCTAGAGTCGACATGAGTGCCCTCTGAGATGAGTTTGGAGTGCCTTTAGAGTGCCCACATGCTAGATCTGAAGAGTGACCTACAGCAAGTAGGGAAGCCAGGGGCCTCCGTGGAATTGCAGTAGAGTTTTGATGTTCATTGGGGGTATTTTGACTCTCTTCAAGCAATCTATTGATACCCTTATCCGAACTGGAAGGCAAACTAGCTTGTTTATTACTAATAGAGTCATCTGTTAAAGCTTTTCTGATAGAGAGAAAGTTCAGTCCCTGTGGAGTGAATGCAGGATGAGTTTTCTTCAGCATCTCTTTTGAATTTTCAGTTGCACTTGACATAGTTTGGGTTTTCTGGTTCCCAACCTTGACATTATTTTCTCCATTGTGCGATGAGCCAGCTTGTTTATTTACACCGAAATTGTTTAATAGCGATGATTTTACACCATTTTCCCTACTCAAAAGCAAGCTAGCTAATTTTTTACTACCGGAATCTGCCACTGGAGTGTTGCCAAATGAAAGAAAATTTACACCCTTTGGTGCGGCTACAGGTGGTGTTCTCTTTGGCGTTTCATTCATATTTTGAACAGTGCTCAATGCAGTTTGTTCAGTCTGATTCCCAACTTTGCCACTGCCATTCCTCTTTGGAGATGAGCTGCCTTGTTTAAGTTTACTGGATTCAAGCAATGATGATTTCCCAAAGAAGAGACAACTTACACCTTTGGGTGCCACTGCAGGTTGTTGCACAGGCACTGCCACATTCTGTTCTGTATTTTTGCATGAAGAAACTTTTCTACAGTTGGATAAAGCATCAAGGTTCTGATGGGAGAATGGATCAATGTTTGCTTGCTTCTGGGAATTGGACATATGAACCAGGGATGGAAGCTTCAGTTCATGTTTGGAAGCACTAGAAGTGGAAGGGCCATCTTCCTTGGGTAGCACCTGAAGCATATACACGCAAATACATACTCAATCAGCTAACCCGGACAAGCCTTAAAACCCAATTACTTAAGGAAATTATGTAACAAGTATATTGAAAAAAGACAGCAGCACGCAATAAGTAACATTTTAGAAAAGTAAGAATGTACCTTGTGTGAAAACATACAATCACCACCTCTGTTGCAAAAGCCTTTAGCCACAAAGTTGTTACAGGGATACTTAAAGAGCTGATGATCGAATGGACAGTCATCCCCCTTCATGCAGGAGTTACGTGCAAAATGACAGCATGGCTGCACACCAGAATGCAAGACAGAGAATTAAGCATCAGAGAGTCTGAAATATCCATGTAAAACACAATAAAAGAAAATCCTAGATAACATTCTTTTAATGGGGAAGCGGTACAGATTCAGTATACTGATTACAGATTGATAGAAATGCAAGCACAGATGCAAGCCATAGACACAATCAACAAATCAATATATCATAGTAAATTTGAGCAACATAGCCTCTGGTAGGTTACAGAAGTAACTAGTGGAAAAAATCCTCAGATAAGATTGCATTACTAGAATAGCATGAGTAATGTATATGGTTAAATGACCATACCTTGGACTTTGTTAAAGGTACTGCATCATGTGAAAATTTGCAATTGTCAGCCTGTGAAAGCCAAAAAAAAAAAAAAATGATAATAATTAGCAGAGAGCTAAGGAAAGAAAACTGAAGGAGACTTGATTATTTGATTGCAATCAAATATATGTCTCCTGAAAACTCATTTTTACGAAAAATCACAAGGAAACAAAACAATAAGTTTTTTTTTTTCCCTCCCTCTATAATTCCTTTTATCCAACCATTTCCTTCCCTTCTATTTATATACAACTAACCAGAAAAGTGTGTAATAGCCAGACTACATCATAATTTCTTAAAAGCAAAATCAGTTCCACTATTACTCCTTTAATTAACAGTTTATTGAAGTCGGTGTTTAAAATACAAGCAGTGGTTACCTGAAAACACACATAAACACTACAATAATAGGATATAGTGACCAACCCAATGCAATTCATTGACATCAACTTTAAGCTATTAGATACATGTCCAACAACAATATTTAAGTCTTAACAAACCCTCTTACATGTAACATAGCCCAAACAAATGACAGATAGATGAGCCAAGCAAACACTAGAGTATATAATAGCATGTTAAAATTATTAGGTAAGGTACCAACATTAATACTTAAGTCTAGTATTCAATACCGCAAAAGAGAGACAGTTGATCATGATAAACAACAATAAAATGATCAATAAAAACTATTTCGATACATTTTTCTACATGCAGATCAACATACATCTGATGCAAAATAATCAAAAGGCTATATAAACACCACAAAAATAATGGAAACGGGAAATTGGTACTACCTCCTGGCATCTTCCCATAAGGTAATGACGGCAATACGTTACAGTTTTTGGTTTCAGAACCGGACGCAGTTTCAACCTTTTAACGCCAAGCTGTCGATTCTTTTCTGCTCGCTTTTTTCGTTCTTTTTGCTGCAAAAAGGATCCGATAAATAAACTAGTTATATACATCAGAAGCACATAAAGAATATCAGCCGCAGACAAAGTAATGGTGACTCTTTGGAACATATAGCACATATTAATTTTTCAGATGACTACGAAGAAATCGATAATGAATTGTCTTAAAAAGTCTTGCATCCCAATCAGAAATTAATAAGCTGCATATAAAAAAATCCATTCACACATCCAAAAGAAAAAATATGTAGAAAATATACCTTTTTCTTTGCTTTCCTTTCCTTTGAGGGAGCACTTCGCTTTTTCTTATTACGGACACTAGAATCCAGCTACAGAAAGTGAACAACAAACCACACTAGTTAAAAGTAGACCAAATTATCAAATAAAACTTAATCATTGTTAAATAATTAAAAACTTCCCCTTTTTCAGCCTCTCCAATCATTCCAACAAAACCGTAGAGAAAGAATATTACATATGCAGACAAGAGAGAGGAGAGATACTCATGATACGTAGTTTCTTCCAGAACAATATTGTGCCTACTTAGTCAAGTCACCAAAACTTATTCATAGTCAAGTCACCAATACTTATTCATGTTATAATTACAACATTACAAAATTTTGAATAACCAACATGAAGGTGGTATAACATATCATGACAGAAAAGATCATAAAAGTACAACAGAATGAAGCATACCAATAGATGTACCTATACCATTTCACAATATACTATCGTGGAAAAACACAGAAATTAAATTGTAAATTAAGCACTAAAAGAAAATGCAAAATAAAAAAATACCTTCTCTTCAGATGTAATTCCTCGCTTCTCAGTTGCGCTTAGCTCTAAGACTTCCACACGCATTGTTGGATTGTTAGGATATATTGCTGGACAAGCAACACTCCCCTCATCTCCACTGGATTTCCTTTTATTTGTTCCAGCTGCTGGCACAGAAGTATACCTCTCTTCATCTGTAGCCATCTTTGAGGTTCCATGCACAAAGTTTTTGGATTCACACTGTTTATCATTTCTGAAACTTTCTTTGAGTTCCATTGCTCTACCAATATTGGCATGATTCACAGTAAAAGCAGCAGGATCAGAAAATATTTCATTAGCTCTGTTTTGTTCATCACAAGAAAACTCTCTTTTATCAATTACATCTTCAGAAACTTGCAACCTATCTTTCTTCTCCTCTGACAACACAGCACTTTTAAAAAGCATATCAATTGATGCTTCATCAACCTCAAAGCCACCAGAAACTTCTTTCTCTTCAACATCTACATCTTTGGCCACATAATTATAGGAAACCATTGCACCATCAGTATGAACTAATTTCTCTGGTACCATCTCTTTTGGCCGCATTTCAGGCTCTGCTTCCACGGCATTAGTCCTCAATAAAGAACACCCGCCTTCACTTTCGTCACTCGGTTTTGGAAGTTGACAATGCATACTTCTATCTACAGAAAAATCAACTGGTTCAGAAATCTTTAGATTACATTGTATTTTCTCTACTTGTAGCTGAGCCTCTTTCCCAAATTTCTCATTAACAATTTGCTCAAAGTCAACATTTTCTTTTGGGTCATTCATCAAGACAGCCTCACCACTCTGGTTCTCATCCATAGATGCTGCTGAGACACTACTAGTATTCTCTTGAACAAGTTCTCCATTTCCTTTTACAATATGCTCTAATTCATCCATCAACATTTGTTGCCGATCAAATCCAATGTCTTGGGAACCAGTGCCGTCAACAATATCACTAGTCATTGGGTCCCTTTTCAAAAAATCATCATTTTCTTCTATTCCTAATATATGATCTATCTCATCATTTACAATTAGCGTGTCACCAAACCCTTTGTTTTCAAATCCAACAGCTTCAAAGCTTTCCTTGACAACTGCGTCTTCATTCTCAGGCACTGCACAATCAGGACCGACCAATTCACCTTGCTCACGTATCTCTTCATTAAAAGAAAAATCAAACATCAACAACGACATCACAGAAATTAGAAGTACCAGAGACCGGCAAAAATACTATTATTGTAATTTAATTCAAATTTGCTAGCATAACCTCCCTGATAAACGTAAAATCAATTTCTTAAACAAGAATTAAATTCCTATTAAATTAAGCAAATGATGTAAATCAAGTACCTGGAATTGGCTCCTGGGGAGCTGAAACTGGAGAGTGATCATAGCAGTGCGACAGGATTCGAATCAAAGAGCGATAAGTTTCACTCTTGAGATGTCGATGAGGTTGAGGAGAGAAACAGAATGACGTTGTTCCAAATTGTGATTTCTCCATTTGGCACTAACAATCTCGGATCATAAACCCTACTGTAGTAAGGGTTTTTGAAGTCTGATGTTTAACCGCCTCTCTTAACTAAGCATGCCCATTCCAATATCCGGGAGAACTAAAACGACTACGTTTAAGATTACAACTGCTATATTCTTAACTCTGCAAATTAAACCCTTTTTTTCTCAAGAAATTTGAATTTATGAAATGAAAACTAGCCTCAATGTAGAATGTATCTTATAAAAGAGTAATACTATGTTTATTCACTATCTTACTAACCATCTTACTATCCTTTGTAAATATAACATATAATACTGGTACCATACGCATAATACAGATACTATGTAAAATTTTAACAAAGGTAATAAAACGGTTAGTAAAACTCGTGAATAAGCATAGTATTTCTGCTCATAAAATAGCCAAATCCCATTTTCATAATTTTAATTGACGAAATTGTCCCTATCACATTTTTTAACCTTTTAAAAAGCCCGTTTAACCTATTCTCCGTAATTATAACCCCTCCCAAATCATTATATTTTTCGATTTTCTATAGAATATATTGTATGAGTTTATTGAGATCTTAGGTAATTAAAAGATTGACAAAAGATATATTATTTTTATTGTGATCTTAGAAAAAACAACCATTATATATATACACTAGAAAATAACAAGGTTGAATATAAGAAGTGACCGATAAGGGGTCTCGATCCCTAGTAGGACTTATAGGTGGTATATGTAATTTTTATATCGGTCGCTAATAGGGAGTATCGATCACCGATAAGACCTATAGGGGGTATCTATAATTTTCCTATTGGTGACAATAGGAGTATAAAAAATTTTATAGGTAAAACTAAATATATAGATCACCGATAGTGTTTCTCGTCGTCTGCAACCTTGAAACTGCTATATGACTGATACCACTTATATCAACCGATAAGCAGTCCCAAGTTTCATAAAAAACATTAATACATATTCTATCTAAGTCCAAACAACATCATTTTCTTCCCATAACTCAAAATCAACAATTAAAGTACTTTAAATAAAATAAAACAAACTCAAACCCTAACATACCTTCTGAAATTGTGAATGGAGTCTTTGGTAATTGATCAATCTATAAATTTAATCCATTCTTTGATGGAAATCGATCAAAATCTGATGAAAATTGTACGAAATTGATTTGAATTTGAAGAGGAGATAAAGTTAGGGTTGAATGAAGCCTATATATGAAGGGGCAATTTCGACCTTAAAAGAGGGGGAAGTTGGATTAGACTAATCTTTGAGACACTTTTCATATTGGGACTACTTATCAATTCACACCCTAAATTATGACTAATTAAATAATTTCTCCTTCCTTTTTTATGCAAAAATATATTAATAAAACTATACTTATATTTTTTTATACAACCTTGATGGCAGTTCACAATTTGTCAGTTTGTATTTAGGCAGATGAAACCTGCTACGAGCTAATCAATTGTGAGTTGTCACATCAGGGTTATATAAAAAAATTATATGAAAAAGTTGTAAGTGTAATACTGCTAAAATTATATTAGCTCAATAAATTTCAAAATTATCAACCCGTCGGCGACTTTTTGGGGGTGTTTGAAGACTTTTGGTCCAATTTGGTGTTCAGACACCTATAAAAAAAGTTCTATAATGGAAGAGCATGGACATATTAAGGATAAATATTAAGTTATTCTCATATAAAAAATTAAGAAAAATATTAAAAGTTATTCTCACAAAAAAAAAAAAAAAAATTGACAATAGATATTAAGTTAGTCAAGTAAATAATTACAATAATGCTAGACATACAGTGAAATTTATAAAGATTTATTATACAAAGTGATGTGACATGAGATAAATGAAAAAATGAACACAAAAAGTCAAACTTATCATATTTACTTTTCTATTTATCTCCTGTCACATCACTTCGTACAATAAATCTTTGTAAATTTATTTATAAGTTTAGCATTACCTTAATAATTATGAGGTCTCTAACAACGTCGGAACTAAGAGCTTGTTTGACCAAGTTTATGAAAATTAGCTTACAAGCAGCTAGTGCTTATAAGGTAATTTGAGCTTATAAACATTTGAAATTTACACAGATGCGTGTTTTGTTAAATTACTTATAAATGACCGATAAGTAATTGACGCATTTGATAAAATGTGGTTTATAAGTACATTTTATTATTAAAATGACTAAAAAGGATACTACATTATTTTATCAAATAATAAATTATATCAACTCAAATTTTTAATATTATCAAAATATATTTCAATCATATTACAATATAATTTAATTTTAGAATTAAATAAACAAATACTTATAGACAAATATTTTATTAAAAATTTATATGAATAATTTTTTAAGTAAATAATGACAGAAACGTGAGTTGTTTGAAATATTAAAATAAAGTTATATGATGAAATTTTAAAATTAAATAGGAGTAATGTGGTAATATACTAAAAAAAAAAAAAAATTGGTTTTCCCCAACTTATTTTTTTAGCTTATAAGTCCAAAGAAGTTATAAACAAACATGTCGATTTGATTTTAAAATTTATAAGCTAGTTTAACCAGCTTATGTTATAAACAAACAGATCAGCATGATCTTAGAGCTTATATAAACTCAGACAAACATTCTGGCCCGACTTAGTTCTCTGAATTTTTTATAAAGTATCACAAAATACCCCCAAAATTATATATAAAATATCTAAAATATTTAGAAAATTACAACCTAACCCTTTAGTTTTCTTTGATTTTTCTTTCACTTTCTACATGATTTTTTTCCCCTCTTTTGTCCTTATTCTCATTCACTCTCTAACTCAAAAACAAAATATTTCCCATAAAAGTCAATTTATATATATATATTAAAGATCAAATAGCTTGGATTCTTCAAATAATTGTCTAAATTTATAATGTCTTAAGTTTCTTATCGCATTGGTTCAGGTTGATTTTTCTTTTTTTTTTTTTATATATGAAATAATATTTGATTTTCTTATATTTTACTATTGTAGTTTATATGTCAAACTAATATTCATTCAAATTAACCAATATATATATATCAACAAAGCTACGAACACCGAAAAACTTGCACCGAAATTGTGTACCGGCCTACGTGTACCATACGCGTGAATTTTTTATCAATTTTTTTTCTAGTGAACGGCCGTCCATCAATCACTCATATGGACTCCCGTCCATACTAGATGGACGAGGGTTCATATACCAGGGACGGCCGTCTCCATTTAAAGGACGTCTGTCCCTGAATAAAATACAATAAAAAAATTTGTAAAATATTAGGGACGGCCATCCATCAATTATGGACGGGTGTCCCTTTATTTTGGACGAGCGTCCGCAAATAAGAGATGCCCGTCCTTAATCAAAATATGAAAATAAAAAAAATAAAAAACTTTGGGGACGGCTGTCCATAAATTTTGGATGGCCGTCCCTTATTTTTGGATTGATGTCTATTAGGAATGGACGTCAGTCCCTTACGTTTGGACGGCGTCCATTAGCCCATCCATACTTTTAAGAAAAAAAAAAATTGTATACTTTTTCGTCTTCATTCCCCATTTCCTCTCTTTTTCTTCTGTCTTCATTCCCCATCTCCTCTCTTCTTCTTGTCCACTTTACGCTTCCAGCAGATAATCCATAACATGGAAGCAATCATCAACATTAACTGCAGATTATATAGGCACACTCTGTCAACATCCTATATTAGTTTTTTGTGAAAGAAGAACAAAACCCAGAAAGATCCAGTCTCTATCCACAACTTCTTTATCCAAACTCTCAACTTCTTGAGAGTCTTTAACAAGGAGCGTTCATGGGGGTTTAGTGCTAGTATCTGCAAAATAAAGGAAAAAGCACATTTAAAACTCACTTACTGCAAACATCAACATCCCTTCTCTAACTACTCACTTTCTTCCTTCAACTAATTACCAACAATTACATCAGGGCCGTCTCTAGAACATTTATGACCCTAAGCAGGAGTTACTTTGGGGCCCTCTAATAATATAAGCATATATTAAAAAAATTATTATTATTATTATTATTTTTGCCTTTTGAGATAAAAAATCACTAGGAAGTGGACAGCAACCGGTAGGCTAACAAGGTTAGGTTAGTAGGGGGTTTTAGAGAGTAGATATTGGAGAAGTGATGAGTGGTGAAATGGGTGATTTCCAATGCCAAGATTGATAAGAAAATGCTTGAGAAGTCACGGCCCAAAAGGTATCGATGGTCGGCGATTGGCAGAGTAAACAGATAAGGTATGATAGGGGTTTTGGTGAGAGGGCTGAGGGGAGGAGGATGGTGGTGTCGCGGAAGGCCAACATGTCGAGTACATGCCAAAAGGTTGAAAATGGCTATCTGTGGTGGAGCTGGGTTGCGAGATTCATAAAAATTAGTCAAATCAAGGGCTATCAAGGTTGGGAAATGATAAAATGATGATTCGGTCGATTTTGGTGAGAAAATTGACCGAAATCAACTCCAAACCACTGGCAGCAGAAGAGGGTTGGAGATGATTTATGTGATGTCAAATTTTGGGATTGAATTAGGGGTGAGTAATTTGAGATATGTAATAACTATTTAGTCTTTCATTGTTAAAGATATTCAATGTGTTAATTTAGGGTATAAGCAGAATATATAAAACTAGAGTACAAACTTGCTATTTTGTTAAACTTTGGAAATATATGTAAAAGTTTATAATAAATTTGGGCTTTTTTAGCTTTTTTTTTTTTTAGGGGGCCCCTTGGCTTAGATAAGAAATTATAAACATTTTCATTTTTGTAAGTTATTAAAAAAAAAATTTATAAAAATCTGGACCCCCATATTTTGGGGCCCTACAGGTGCCTCACCTGCCTACCCCTTAAGCCGGGCCTGAATTACATTCATCTCTACCCGATAACTAACGTTTCCAAGCATTTGACAAGCAAAGCTTACCCAAAACTCAACTCAGTTGACGACCTCTCAATAACCCAAACACTTGCCAGCCAAATTACCTTAACTCCCATCATTTTAAAACACTATTCAATCTATTATCACAAAGACATTCCCCGATTACATGTAATCAAGGTATCCAACCACCATCACAATTATTGAAACAACCAAATGCATGCAAGTTCAATTAGCAAGCAAATACATTCCATTTAAAACTCAAATCAACCGCTCTAAATATGTCCAAAAACATGCAGAGAAGGTAAATCAAGCAAGCTTCACATTTAGCTCAAACCTCATCAAAACACAAACATGGCATACCACAATTAACATGCAGCATAGATCTGAAATTTTTAAGGAAGTTTTCATTAAATCCACTTACTATTCTAGCTCAGCCGCAACTGAAATGGACTGTCAGACACTCTTCTCTTCCATACCTACACCACAAACTCAAGATCAAACACCCACTCTCACAACAAAGAAGAAACAATTAAAGAAAAAGCTTCCTAACCCCATGCATGCATTACACTCTCACTCCCTCTCTCACTTTACCTCTCGTCTCCCCTCTTCTTCTTTACTTTCCTTTCTCTTCTTCTCTCCTTTGCCTCTCTTTTCTTCCTTTCTTTCCTTCTTCTCTTCTCCTCTCGTTTTTCTCTTTTTTTTTTTTTTTTTTTTTTTTTTTTTTTTTTTTCTGCTCTGCTCTCGTTTTCTCCCTCTACTCTCATCTCCTTCTTCTTCATTTGGGCGAACAGCCCTTTTTTTTCTTTTTTAAACAAAAATCTTTCTTTTCTTAAAACAGACAATGAGACAATCACATAAATGGCAAAACCGTTTGTATAAAGGTTGCAATTTTGTAGTTGACAGAGTGTGCCTATATAATCTGCAGTTAAGTTGATGATTGCTTCCATGTCATGGTTTATCTGCTGAAGCGTAAAGTGGACAGAAGAAGAGAGGAGATGGGAATGAAGACAAAAAATAGAGGAGAGGGGGAATGAAGACGAAAAAGTTTACAATTTTTTTTTTTATTTAAAAGTAGAGACGGGGTCCATTTCGTCCAAACATCCAAACATAAGGGACGATCGTCCAAAATTTATGACGGCCGTCCCAAAGTTTTTTTTTTTTTTTTATTTTCATATTTTGATTAAGGACGGACGTCTCTTATTTGCGGACGCCCGTCCAAAATAAAGGGACGACCGTCCATAATGGATGGACGGCCGTCCCTAATGTTTAACAAATTTTTTTATTATATTTTATTCAGGGACGGGCGTCATTTAAATAGGGATGGCCGTCCCTGGTATATGGACCCCCGTTCATATAGTATGGACGGGAGTTCATGTGAGTGAACGACCGTCCAAATTTGATGGACGACTGTTCACTAGAAAAAAATTGATAAAAATTCACGCGTCTAGTACACTAGGCCGGTACACAATTTCGGTACAAGTTTTTTGGTGTCCGTAGCTTTGTTGTGTATATATATATATATACAACTTTAATTGTGTTTTGTTGTGTTTGAATTACATGTTTATGTATCATTTTTTTTTTTTGGTCTTTTTTAAATACTTAAATTTTGCATGAAAATATGCAATTTAAAGGGTAAGTTTTATTACTTGCCCCTCTGAATAAGCCACTTTTTTGTGTTAATAAAATTTTCACTTGTTGTCGAGGTTTGCAAAAAAAAAAAAAAGGCATTTAGCCTGCCCGGAAAACTTTATTGGTTACGACTTACACCCTTGGTCTTTAAATATGTTGACTTGGTTTGAGTCGTTTGACCATGTGTTATGCATATGGAATAATTTGGTAGGACAATATAATGACCTATGTAGCAAGATTGATGAAAGAGTTTATTTTATTTTCCCTCCTTAATGTACCTTAGTATTAAAATCATTGGTTTCATTTAGAAAGAATTAAAATCCCTTGTAATTCTTAAAAAAAACCCTCTCAAAAATATCAAAAGCCCCTTTGAAAATATTAAATAATATTTTATAAATTAAAATATGATAAGGGTTTTTGATAATTTTTTAAAGGACTTTTGATATTTTTAGGAGGTTTTTTGATGATTACGGGGATTTTACTTTTTGAATGAGGGGTGGATGAGTGTAATTCGAAGTCATCTCGAGGAGGAAATATAATCGCCTAGGGAAAAGTTGAAAATAACCAATAACTCAAAATTTCAAAATTAACCATTTTGAGAGAATGTAAAGACTAAATTGTCCTGCAGTCGAAAAAACAAAAGAATGCAAAACATGTAGTGTCATCCAGCAAACAAAAACCGTAAACCCCACCGAAAGACAGTGTGAAATTTTTGTTGTGGCAACCAAAGCATAAACCCCAGGAAGCAGCGGTCTGAGCAATTAGTTTCTGAGATTTTGAGAAAAAATGGTGGTGAGGATCCGATTGGCGAGATTCGGATGCAAGAACAAGCCATTTTATCGGGTCATGGCTGCTGATAGCAGATCACCCAGAGATGGCAAGCATCTCGAAGTATTAGGTTACTATAATCCCTTGCCAGGTTCCTCCCTCTCTCTCACTTTTATGTGTTGATTTTAATGATTTCTCATATCGGTTCTTTTCATGGGTACAAGTTTTACTGTTATTAAGACTAATAAGATAAGCAATAACTCAACTTCATTGAGACTAATATTTCTGTGTATTTTTCATTACTTATCCTCGTAGTTTCGAGATCTAATCGGAACCTTATTGAATTAAATTTCAATCACAAAGTACACGTGTATTTTTATGCTATATGCTGATTTTGTTCCATTGTTTGTTCTTTTAGGTCAAGATGGTGGCAAACGAATGGGCATTAATTTTGAAAGAGTGAAGTAAGTTACTGTGTTTGGAAAAGAAAATTATTGACTTTTAAATTTCTCTTAATCGTTTGTAAAGTACATTTTTCATTTAGAAAATACTAATTTGATGGTTGGCAGTAACTGGAAAATCTGTATTTCTGATTTATGTTAGTACTGAGTTCAATTTTTTTTCTGTGCGTTAGGCTATACTATGTTTGAGACATCAACTTATATGCTTCAATGTTGTGAATGGAATATGTGAACAATTGAGAAGCATACTGATTGTTATGACTATCTATCTACATTCACACTTGGAGTGATAGAGTTTATAGTTTTCGCTTACTAGAATATATAAGTTGATTTTCCTTGTCAAAACCCTTTTATTTTTAATCCCAACTCTGAGCTGCTCATAAGTTACTCCTTAAAGGGTTTTTCTGCCAGAGGTGGACCTATAATTCTGCTCAAAGTGCTTTGATCAGTCAACCTCCACATACTGAAAATTTTAGACCACTTCCTGCTTTCAATTGATGAGTTTCTTTTGAAAATTGCTATAGCCTGAATCGCAGCTGTTTTGATTATTATTTCTTTTTTCGCTTTTTGAGCCATATGCAATAATTTCTCTTTAGGCAACAAAGAATATGTAAACTTGATTCTGTTTAATGGTAGGGTTATGGCAAAAATATCTTGTAGTAAGATGATAATAGTTCATTGAACGGAAGTATCTAGTTCTAAATTACTTGGCTTATAGTCTGGTGTAAAATGTGGCTGCTTCATAGTTGAATTCTTGGAAATTTAAGACGGTTTGAGGAGGTTAAGTGATTCTTCTTGCTAATTTGAGTAGTTCTCTTTTTTGTTTGGTTAACTATACACGAATTTTGATGCCTTTATTAGGAGTTGTAGAGTTCGCTTATTAATTTTTAAGCTCAGCTCAAACCCAAAAGGAATATGAAATTATCAAGTTGTTTATCAATTTTATGTTTGAGCTTCATAAACTTTTTTATGACCATCTGTACACCATGTTACAAAATAAATAAGACTGCTTCATTCAATCCAATTTTATTTTTGCAGGTATTGGTTATCAGTTGGTGCTCAGCCTTCAGATCCTGTCCAACACATTCTTTTCAGGGCAGGGTTACTGCCTCCACCACCTATGGTGGCAATGGGGCGCAAAGGTGGACCTCGTGACACACGTCCTATCGATCCTATGACAGGGCGTTTCTTGAATTCTGAGAAGCCAGCCATTGCTGACCAATCAAAAAGTGATGCAGATGATAGTGCAGAACCAGCAACTTCCCCATGAAACTTTTCATTTCTGCAGCTATATTTGATGGAAAAAGAGAGAGCGGTGGTTCCATAAAAATCTACATGTGCTCTGATTTTCTCAAAAATTATCTTCCAACAATAACTCCTGCCTTCTCTGTAGACATGTAAGCTTATGTAGAGATTTTCTTAATCCCGCATAGTAATATTAAGTGTTATTCAATGGTGATTTGATTGAGTATTGACATTTTCTAGGTTGAGAATGAAACTTACTATGCTTTGCTGCTAAACTGTATTTGAGTATCTTTGTTAGTGTGTGCACGTCAAAGTTCTTGATGGTTCTCCAATGTAGTATCTTTCATTTATGCAGCAACACTCGCCAGTCTTTCTGTTGAATTACACAGTTTATTTTCATAGCAAATAACTGGACTTGCAGAACATTGTGTTTGCATATTGTTTGTGATCCCTTTATGATTAATTATGTTTAATATCTATGGAATTGCCTCCTTCCGAGTGCTTAGGGTTTTCATTTATAGCTGGAAATCAAGTTATGTGAATACAAGAGAGTATGTAGAGAAGACTATCACGAGTTGGGTTAATCAATTGGGCAATACTATATTTACAACCTAATTTAAAAAACATTCTCTTATAATCTTGATATAACAGTTTGCAATTGGTTTCCGATGAATTTTTTCGTTTAACCAATTGCAAGATATCACGTCAGAGTTGTGAGAAAGAGTTTGTGAGATTGAATTATGAGCTAATCTTTATTGATTTGGAAAATGAGAACGAATCGTAACTCATCGTTTAAATGCCATTTCGGATTAAAAATATTATTGAAAATAAGGTAAAAAATTATATAACAAGTAAAAGTTTACATTTAATTATAATTAATGCATGGTAGGATTTGGAATCCTCAAGAAACTTGTAAATATTTTCAAAGAGAACTTTTACAACTTAACAAACCTAACAAATCTATTTATAACCAATAATTTGCAAAACTAAAATCCTAATTATAATAACCAAATGAAATATTTTTGTAATTAAATTATAAAACAAATAGCCTCTTCTAATAATTACATTTGATATAAATTGTCCTAAACCATAATTCTTGTTAAACCTAAGGGATAAATATTAACAATTAAACCATTTCATTCTTATCTTCTTTATTGAAAGATATTTTTACTTCTTGTTATATACAGCCACTTAAAAATAGTATGCCACGTCACCACACGCATGTATAGTTGTATACATACGCTAGGTGGTTGTACTTGTACAAGTAACATAACTTATGTATAAATCAATTTCCTTTTTCTTTTTTTCTAGGTTAATACTTAATACCAAACAAGGTGTTAAAAGAAAATTAAAAAAAAAAAAAATATATATATATATAGTAAAAACAAAACAAAAGCGTGCCGCCTTAGTTAATAAAGAGAACAAGTGTTAGGTCTCTAGGGCGAGGGAGAGGATTTAAGCAAGGCCACGTTTGTTTTTGACGCCTCTCAAACCCTTTTCCCTTCCTTCCCCAATCTCTCTCTTTGCGACTTAGGGTTTTAGGGTAGCCTCGTCTCTGTTATTTAATCAAAACCTCTTCGGCAATGAGCAGCGACAAGGATAACTTCAACATGGCCGATCTTAACGCCTGTAATATATCTCCTGAGCCCTAATTTCTTCTATTTCTTCCAATTTTTATTATATCTCTACTCACGATTTCTCTTTTTTTTTGTATAGCTCTTAACGAAGAGGATCGAGCTGGCCTTGTCAGTGTCCTCAAGGTCCGTCACTTGCTTTACTTTGTAACCTAATCGGTTTTATTTTATTTCGAGTTTTTTGTGTTTGGTTGTCTGATTGAGTTAGTTTTTGTGCAGAATAAGCTTCAGAACCTAGCTGGCCAGCACTCTGATGTTCTTGAGAACTTAGCTCCCAAAGTCAGGAAGCGTGTTGAGGTTCTCAGAGAGATCCAGGCACGTGCTATTGCTGTTAAATCGGCTGTTTAATTGATACTTTATTCGGCAGGGTTATTAAGATTTTGATATGCTTTCAATAATGTGATAATTGTGTTATTGGTATGGGTTCTGTTTGAGGATGTACAATTTGTAAATATTCCGTGTTTATTATATGATGTGGAATAGAATATATGTTGACACGATGTGTTTGATATGACTTTCTGTGTCACTGGTTTGTAATGTAATTCCAATATCAGTCCAAGATTGATGTTTGCTTTTGTAGGCACCTCTCAAGGGTATCTAACATCATTAAAAACTGTGATTCTCTATTTAATTGATTGGCAAAAATTTGTGGTGAATATTTTCCACATCAGGGGAAATTTCTACTTTTTCTGTTTGGCTTTTTATGTTGTTTATGCCTGTTGCACGGGTACTCTTTGGTTTATTCCTTTATGAAGAGACATGTTAAAGTTGAACACTGTTTGGAATATTGATATTGGAGATTAACAATTCTGTGATGAATTTACAGAGTCAGCATGATGAATTGGAGGCAAAATTTTTTGAGGAGAGAGCAGCACTTGAAGCCAAATATCAGAAACTGTACCAGCCTTTATACACCAAGGTATCATACTATTGATTTTAACAAATCTCTTTACAGTATGCGTGTGGAGAGGTGAATAGCATACTTGGAAATTAGTAACACCCTAGCCCATGTAATAATGGTATACTTCCTTTCAAAGTAGATAAATTGATATATTGGTAAACAGAGATGGGGGAAGTGCAAGTTTGTGTCTTTTTGTTGTTAAACCAGCCATTCTTTCAGGTTTACCCTATGTAAGAACCAGAAATTTTCTCTCAGGTTTATCCTCTGTAAACATATCCATAGGTTAGCCTGGTTGCTCTTGATGCTAGGTTTCATATAAATGGATGAATAAACACAGCCATAGGTAAGCCTGGTTGCTCTTGATGCTAGGTAATAATGAATGTACATTTACTGATCCCATGAGAGGGCATTGCTGGTGGCTGTGGGTTTTTGTTTTTAGTTTTTGTCACAAATATGCTGAATAATTTATAATTTCCTTTCCCTAATTTTTTTAACCATATATATGCAGCGTTTCGATATTGTGAATGGTGTTGTTGAAGCAGAAGGAGCTACTAATGAAGCTGCAATGGACCAAGAAGAGGATAAGGCTGCTGAAGGTATACTCTCTGAACATCACCATGGGACTCTCTCTATTGTGTCAATATTCTTTTTGGGGCTTTATTTTGAATGTGGTACACTTAATGCAGAGAAAGGAGTACCTGATTTCTGGCTCACTGCAATGAAAAATAATGAAGTGCTAGCTGAAGAGGTTTGTTATTTTAATACAAATATATATGTCTAGTTTGGTACTTCCGAATTCATAAAAAAATTTGGTCTCAAACCTTTTTTTACTTGGAATCAGATTACTGAGCGTGATGAAGGAGCTCTCAAGTATCTTAAAGACATTAAGTGGTACAGGATAGAGGAACCGAAAGGATTCAAGCTTGAATTTTATTTTGACACCAATCCTTTCTTCAAGAACTCTGTCTTGACGAAGACTTATCACATGATTGATGAAGATGAACCTATTCTTGAGAAAGCTATTGGGTAACTTTGGTTCTTGAGAAACTTATATTGAGAACATTTATCTTTAGTTTTTAGTTTCTTATTCTGTAGTTGGTTAATTTAGAAGATTGTGCACAGTTGTTTCTGGCTGACACTTTTACTAAAATATGAGTTCTGGTGCTTCATAGGACTGAGATTGAATGGCATCCGGGAAAATGCTTGACACAGAAGCTTCTTAAGAAGAAGCCTAAGAAGGGATCAAAGAATGCTAAGCCTATCACTAAAACTGAAGATTGTGAAAGTTTTTTCAATTTTTTTAATCCACCTCAAGTCCCTGAAGATGATGAAGACATTGATGAAGATACTGTATGTTTAACATCATTTCATTTCTACAGATATATGATATTTGATTAATTGTTCTGTGTTTTACTTATTTCCAATTTTCTTGAACAGGCCGAGGAGCTTCAAAATCAAATGGAGCAAGATTATGATATTGGGTGTGTATTCTCTCGTCCAACTAATGTTACATATTGAAATAGTTTTTAGTTGGCAATGTTCTTGTTCTATTTCAGCTATATATAGAATTCTGTCATTGTGATTCAAGTTTCTATAACAATTATGTCGTTGCAACTTCTGACAAAGATGTGGACTGAATTTGTTATCTTTTGGATTCCAAGTTCTTTTTAAACTTATACTATTTATGTTCAAGTTCTATAAGATACTGGTCGTTGGTTGTATGCTGATATTTTGACTCCATAAAGGATCGAGTTATAATTGCTGAATTTATCGTTCTGTAGGTCAACCATTAGAGACAAGATTATCCCCCATGCTGTTTCATGGTTTACAGGCGAGGCTATTCAAGGGGATGAGCTTGAAATAGAAGATGATGATGAAGAAGATGAGGATATTGATGAGGATGAAGAGGATGAGGGAGAGGATGAGGATGAGGAAGAGGAAGACGATGATGATGAAGACGATGAAGANTTGTCGTGTGGTGGAGCTGGGTTGCGAGATTCATAAAAAATTAGTCAAATCAAGGGCTATCAAGGTTGGGAAATGATAAAATGATGATTTCGGTCGATTTTGGTGAGAAAATTGACCGGAACCAAAATTGACCGAAATCAACTCCAAACCACTGGCAGCAGAAGAGGGTTGGAGATGATTTATGTGAATGTCAAATTTTGGGATTGAATTAGGGGTGAGTAATTTGAGATATGTAAATAACTATTTTAGTCTTTCATTGTTAAAAGATATTCAATGTGTTAATTTAGGGGTATAAGCTAGAATATATAAAACTAGAGGTACAAACTTGCTATTTTGTTAAACTTTGGGTGGAAATATATGTAAAAAGTTTATAATAAATTTGGGCTTTTTTAGCTTTTTTTTTTTTTTAGGGGGCCCCTTGGCTTAGATAAGAAATTATAAACATTTTCATTTTTGTAAGTTATTAAAAAAAAAAATTTATAAAAAATCTGGACCCCCATATTTTTGGGGCCCTAGGCAGGTGCCTCACCTGCCTACCCCTTAAGCCGGGCCTGAATTACATTCATCTCTACCCAGATAAGACTAACGTTTCCAAGCATTTGACAAGCAAAGCTTACCCAAAACTCAACTCAGTTGACAACCTCTCAATAACCCAAATACACTTGCCAGCCAAATTACCTTAACTCCCATCATTTTAAAACACTATTCAATCTATTATCACAAAGACATTCCAGCCGATTACATGTAATCAAGGTATCCAGCCACCATCACAATTTATTGAAACAACCAAATGCATGCAAGTTCAATTAGCAAGCAAATTACATTCCATTTTAAAACTCAAATCAACCGCTCTAAAATATGTCCAAAAACATGCAGAGAAGGTAAATCAAGCAAGCTTCACATTTAGCTCAAACCTCATCAAAACACAAACATGGCATACCACAATTAACATGCAAGCATAGATCTGAAATTTTTAAGGAAAGTTTTCATTAAATCCACTTACTATTCTAGCTCAGCCGCAACTGAAATGGACTGTCAGACACTCTTCTCTTCCATACCTACACCCAAAAACTCAAGATCAAACACCCACTCTCACAACAAAGAAGAAACAATTAAAGAAAAAGCTTCCTAACCCCATGCATGCATTACACTCTCACTCCTCCTCTCTCACTTTACCTCTCGGTCTCCACTCTTCTTCTTTACTTTCCTTTCTCTTCTTTCTCTCCTTTGCCGTTTTGCTATTCTACTTTCGTCTTTCTCCTCTAGTTTGTTCTTATTTTGTTTTTTGTTTTTTTTTTTTTTTTTTTTTTTTGCTGCTATCTCTTATCTCGCTATATATCTCCTTCTTCTTCATTGGGCGAACAGCCCATTTTTTCTTTTTTAAACAAACAAATCTTTCTTTTCTTAAAACAGACAATGAGAAATCACATAAAATGGCAAAACCGTTGTATAAAGGTTGCAAATTTTGTAGTTGACAGAGTGTGCCTATATAATCTGCAGTTAATGTTGAGTTGCTTCCATGTCATGGATTATCTGCTGGAAGCGTAGTGGCAAGAAGAAGAGAGAGATGGGGAAGACAAAAGAAAAATAGAGGAGATGGGGAAGAAGACGAAAAAAGTTTACAATTTTTTTTTTATTTAAAAGTAGAGACGGGGGTCCATTTCGTCCAAACGGAATCCAAACATAAGGGACGATCGTCCAAAATTATGGACGGCCGTCACCAAGTTTTTTTTTTTTTATTTTCATATTTTGATTAAGGACGGACGTCTCTTATTTGCGGACGCCCGTCCAAAATAAAGGGACGACCGTCCATAATGGATGGACGGCCGTCCCTAATGTTTAACAAATTTTTTTATTATATTTTATTCAGGGACGGGCGTCATTTAAATAGGGATGGCCGTCCCTGGTATATGGACCCCCGTTCATATAGTATGGACGGGAGTTCATGTGAGTGAACGACCGTCCAAATTTGATGGACGACTGTTCACTAGAAAAAAATTGATAAAAATTCACGCGTCTAGTACACTAGGCCGGTACACAATTTCGGTACAAGTTTTTTGGTGTCCGTAGCTTTGTTGTGTATATATATATATATACAACTTTAATTGTGTTTTGTTGTGTTTGAATTACATGTTTATGTATCATTTTTTTTTTTTTGGTCTTTTTTAAATACTTAAATTTTGCATGAAAATATGCAATTTAAAGGGTAAGTTTTATTACTTGCCCCTCTGAATAAGCCACTTTTTTGTGTTAATAAAATTTTCACTTGTTGTCGAGGTTTGCAAAAAAAAAAAAGAGGCATTTAGCCTGCCCGGAAAACTTTATTGGTTACGACTTACACCCTTGGTCTTTAAATATGTTGACTTGGTTGGAGTGGTTTGACCATGTGTTATGCATATGGAATAATTTGGTAGGACAATATAATGACCTATGTAGCAAGATTGATGAAACCTTAGTATTAAAATCATTGGTTTCATTTAGAAAGAATTAAAATCCCTTGTAATTCTTAAAAAAAACCCTCTCAAAAATATCAAAAGCCCCTTTGAAAATATTAAATAATATTTTATAAATTAAAATATGATAAGGGTTTTTGATATTTTTTTAAAGGACTTTTGATATTTTTAGGAGGTTTTTGATAACTTTTTGAATGAGGGGAGATGAGTGTAATTCGAAGTCATCTCGAGGAGGAAATATAATCGCCTAGGGAAAAGTTGAAAATAACCAATAACTCAAAATTTCAAAATTAACCATTTTGAGAGAACGTAAAGACTAAATTATCCTGCAGTCGAAAAAACAACAGAAAGCAAAACATGTAGTGTCATCCAGCAAACAAAAACCGTAAACCCCACCGAAAGACAGTGTGAAATTTTTGTTGTGGCAACCAAAGCATAAACCCCAGGAAGCAGCGGTCTGAGCAATTAGTTTCTGAGATTTTGAGAAAAAATGGTGGTGAGGATCCGATTGGCGAGATTCGGATGCAAGAACAAGCCATTTTATCGGGTCATGGCTGCTGATAGCAGATCACCCAGAGATGGCAAGCATCTCGAAGTATTAGGTTACTATAATCCCTTGCCAGGTTCCTCCCTCTCTCTCACTTTTATGTGTTGATTTTAATGATTTCTCATATCGGTTCTTTTCATGGGTACAAGTTTTACTGTTATTAAGACTAATAAGATAAGCAATAACTCAACTTCATTGAGACTAATATTTCTGTGTATTTTTCATTACTTATCCTCGTAGTTTCGAGATCTAATCGGAACCTTATTGAATTAAATTTCAATCACAAAGTACACGTGTATTTTTATGCTATATGCTGATTTTGTTCCATTGTTTGTTCTTTTAGGTCAAGATGGTGGCAAACGAATGGGCATTAATTTTGAAAGAGTGAAGTAAGTTACTGTGTTTGGAAAAGAAAATTATTGACTTTTAAATTTCTCTTAATCGTTTGTAAAGTACATTTTTCATTTAGAAAATACTAATTTGATGGTTGGCAGTAACTGGAAAATCTGTATTTCTGATTTATGTTAGTACTGAGTTCAATTTTTTTTCTGTGCGTTAGGCTATACTATGTTTGAGACATCAACTTATATGCTTCAATGTTGTGAATGGAATATGTGAACAATTGAGAAGCATACTGATTGTTATGACTATCTATCTACATTCACACTTGGAGTGATAGAGTTTATAGTTTTCGCTTACTAGAATATATAAGTTGATTTTCCTTGTCAAAACCCTTTTATTTTTAATCCCAACTCTGAGCTGCTCATAAGTTACTCCTTAAAGGGTTTTTCTGCCAGAGGTGGACCTATAATTCTGCTCAAAGTGCTTTGATCAGTCAACCTCCACATACTGAAAATTTTAGACCACTTCCTGCTTTCAATTGATGAGTTTCTTTTGAAAATTGCTATAGCCTGAATCGCAGCTGTTTTGATTATTATTTCTTTTTTCGCTTTTTGAGCCATATGCAATAATTTCTCTTTAGGCAACAAAGAATATGTAAACTTGATTCTGTTTAATGGTAGGGTTATGGCAAAAATATCTTGTAGTAAGATGATAATAGTTCATTGAACGGAAGTATCTAGTTCTAAATTACTTGGCTTATAGTCTGGTGTAAAATGTGGCTGCTTCATAGTTGAATTCTTGGAAATTTAAGACGGTTTGAGGAGGTTAAGTGATTCTTCTTGCTAATTTGAGTAGTTCTCTTTTTTGTTTGGTTAACTATACACGAATTTTGATGCCTTTATTTGGAGTTATAGAGTTCGCTTATTAATTTTTAAGCTCAGCTCAAACCCAAAAGGAATATGAAATTATCAAGTTGTTTATCAATTTTATGTTTGAGCTTCATAAACTTTTTTATGACCATCTGTACACCATGTTACAAAATAAATAAGACTGCTTCATTCAATCCAATTTTATTTTTGCAGGTATTGGTTATCAGTTGGTGCTCAGCCTTCAGATCCTGTCCAACACATTCTTTTCAGGGCAGGGTTACTGCCCCCACCACCTATGGTGGCAATGGGGCGCAAAGGTGGACCTCGTGACACACGTCCTATCGATCCTATGACAGGGCGTTTCTTGAATTCTGAGAAGCCAGCCATTGCTGACCAATCAAAAAGTGATGCAGATGATAGTGCAGAACCAGCAACTTCCTCATGAAACTTTCCATTTCTGCAGCTATATTTGATGGAAAAAGAGAGAGCGGTGGTTCCATAAAAATCTACATGTGCTCTGATTTTCTCAAAAATTATCTTCCAATAATAACTCCTGCCTTCTCTGTAGACATGTAAGCTTATGTAGAGATTTTCTTAATCCCGCATAGTGATATTAAGTGTTATTCAATGGTGATTTGATTGGGTATTGACATTTTCTAGGTTGAGAATGAAACTTACTATGCTTTGCTGCTAACCTGTATTTGAGTATCTTTGTTAGTGTGTGCACGTCAAAGTTCTTGATGGTTCTCCAATGTAGTATCTTTCATTTATGCAGCAACACTCGCCAGTCTTTCTGTTGAATTACACAGTTTATTTTCATAGCAAATAACTGGACTTGCAGAACATTGTGTTTGCATATTGTTTGTGATCCCTTTATGATTAATTATGTTTAATATCTATGGAATTGCCTCCTTCCGAGTGCTTAGGGTTTTCATTTATAGCTGGAAATCAAGTTATGTGAATACAAGAGAGTATGTAGAGAAGACTATCACGAGTTGGGTTAATCAATTGGGCAATACTATANGAGCCATATGCAATAATTTCTCTTTAGGCAACAAAGAATATGTAAACTTGATTCTGTTTAATGGTAGGGTTATGGCAAAAATATCTTGTAGTAAGATGATAATAGTTCATTGAACGGAAGTATCTAGTTCTAAATTACTTGGCTTATAGTCTGGTGTAAAATGTGGCTGCTTCATAGTTGAATTCTTGGAAATTTAAGACGGTTTGAGGAGGTTAAGTGATTCTTCTTGCTAATTTGAGTAGTTCTCTTTTTTATTTGGTTAACTATACACGAATTTTGATGCCTTTATTTGGAGTTATAGAGTTCGCTTATTAATTTTTAAGCTCAGCTCAAACCCAAAAGGAATATGAAATTATCAAGTTGTTTATCAATTTTATGTTTGAGCTTCATAAACTTTTTTATGACCATCTGTACACCATGTTACAAAATAAATAAGACTGCTTCATTCAATCCAATTTTATTTTTGCAGGTATTGGTTATCAGTTGGTGCTCAGCCTTCAGATCCTGTCCAACACATTCTTTTCAGGGCAGGGTTACTGCCCCCACCACCTATGGTGGCAATGGGGCGCAAAGGTGGACCTCGTGACACACGTCCTATCGATCCTATGACAGGGCGTTTCTTGAATTCTGAGAAGCCAGCCATTGCTGACCAATCAAAAAGTGATGCAGATGATAGTGCAGAACCAGCAACTTCCTCATGAAACTTTCCATTTCTGCAGCTATATTTGATGGAAAAAGAGAGAGCGGTGGTTCCATAAAAATCTACATGTGCTCTGATTTTCTCAAAAATTATCTTCCAACAATAACTCCTGCCTTCTCTGTAGACATGTAAGCTTATGTAGAGATTTTCTTAATCCCGCATAGTAATATTAAGTGTTATTCAATGGTGATTTGATTGAGTATTGACATTTTCTAGGTTGAGAATGAAACTTACTATGCTTTGCTGCTAATCTGTATTTGAGTATCTTTGTTAGTGTGTGCACGTCAAAGTTCTTGATGGTTCTCCAATGTAGTATCTTTCATTTATGCAGCAACACTCGCCAGTCTTTCTGTTGAATTACACAGTTTATTTTCATAGCAAATAACTGGACTTGCAGAACATTGTGTTTGCATATTGTTTGTGATCCCTTTATGATTAATTATGTTTAATATCTATGGAATTGCCTCCTTCCGAGTGCTTAGGGTTTTCATTTATAGCTGGAAATCAAGTTATGTGAATACAAGAGAGTATGTAGAGAAGACTATCACGAGTTGGGTTAATCAATTGGGCAATACTATACTTACAACCTAATTTACAAAACCTTCTCTTATAATCTTGATATAACATTTTGCAATTGGTTTCCAATGAATTTTTTCGTTTGATCAATTGCAAGATATCACGTCAGAGTTGTGAGAAAGAGTTTGGGGGATTGAATTATGAGCTAATCTTTATTGATTTGGAAAATGAGAACGAATCGTAACTCATCGTTTAAATGCCATTTCGGATTAAAAATATTATTGAAAATAAGGTAAAAAATTATATAACAAGTAAAAGTTTACATTTAATTATAATTAATGCATGGTAGGATTTGGAATCCTCAAGAAACTTGTAAATATTTTCAAAGATAACTTTTACAACTTAACAAACCTAACAACTCTATTTATAACCAATAATTTTCAAAACTAAAATCCTAATTATAATAACCAAATGAAATATTTTTATAATTAAATTATAAAACAAATAGCCTCTTCTAATAATTACATTTGATATAAATTGTCCTAAACCATAATTCTTGTTAAACCTAAGGGATAAATATTAACAATTAAACCATTTCATTCTTATCTTCTTTATTGAAAGATATTTTTACTTCTTGTTATATAGAGCCACTTAAAAATAGTATGCCACGTCACCACACGCATGTATAGTTGTATACATACGCTAGGTGGTTGTACTTGTACAAGTAACATAACTTATGTATAAATCAATTTCCTTTTTCTTTTTTTCTAGGTTAATACCAAACAAGGTGTTAAAAGAAAATTAAAAAAAAAAAAAATATATATATATATAGTAAAAACAAAACAAAAGCGTGCCGCCTTAGTTAATAAAGAGAACAAGTGTTAGGTCTCTAGGGCGAGGGAGAGGATTTAAGCAAGGCCACGTTTGTTTTTGACGCCTCTCAAACCCTTTTCCCTTCCTTCCCCAATCTCTCTCTTTGCGACTTAGGGTTTTAGGGTAGCCTCGTCTCTGTTATTTAATCAAAACCTCTTCGGCAATGAGCAGCGACAAGGATAACTTCAACATGGCCGATCTTAACGCCTGTAATATATCTCCTGAGCCCTAATTTCTTCTATTTCTTCCAATTTTTATTATATCTCTACTCACGATTTCTCTTTTTTTTTGTATAGCTCTTAACGAAGAGGATCGAGCTGGCCTTGTCAGTGTCCTCAAGGTCCGTCACTTGCTTTACTTTGTAACCTAATCGGTTTTATTTTATTTCGAGTTTTTTGTGTTTGGTTGTCTGATTGAGTTAGTTTTTGTGCAGAATAAGCTTCAGAACCTAGCTGGCCAGCACTCTGATGTTCTTGAGAACTTAGCTCCCAAAGTCAGGAAGCGTGTTGAGGTTCTCAGAGAGATCCAGGCACGTGCTATTGCTGTTAAATCGGCTGTTTAATTGATACTTTATTCGGCAGGGTTATTAAGATTTTGATATGCTTTCAATAATGTGATAATTGTGTTATTGGTATGGGTTCTGTTTGAGGATGTACAATTTGTAAATATTCCGTGTTTATTATATGATGTGGAATAGAATATATGTTGACACGATGTGTTTGATATGACTTTCTGTGTCACTGGTTTGTAATGTAATTCCAATATCAGTCCAAGATTGATGTTTGCTTTTGTAGGCACCTCTCAAGGGTATCTAACATCATTAAAAACTGTGATTCTCTATTTAATTGATTGGCAAAAATTTGTGGTGAATATTTTCCACATCAGGGGAAATTTCTACTTTTTCTGTTTGGCTTTTTATGTTGTTTATGCCTGTTGCACGGGTACTCTTTGGTTTATTCCTTTATGAAGAGACATGTTAAAGTTGAACACTGTTTGGAATATTGATATTGGAGATTAACAATTCTGTGATGAATTTACAGAGTCAGCATGATGAATTGGAGGCAAAATTTTTTGAGGAGAGAGCAGCACTTGAAGCCAAATATCAGAAACTGTACCAGCCTTTATACACCAAGGTATCATACTATTGATTTTAACAAATCTCTTTACAGTATGCGTGTGGAGAGGTGAATAGCATACTTGGAAATTAGTAACACCCTAGCCCATGTAATAATGGTATACTTCCTTTCAAAGTAGATAAATTGATATATTGGTAAACAGAGATGGGGGAAGTGCAAGTTTGTGTCTTTTTGTTGTTAAACCAGCCATTCTTTCAGGTTTACCCTATGTAAGAACCAGAAATTTTCTCTCAGGTTTATCCTCTGTAAACATATCCATAGGTTAGCCTGGTTGCTCTTGATGCTAGGTTTCATATAAATGGATGAATAAACACAGCCATAGGTAAGCCTGGTTGCTCTTGATGCTAGGTAATAATGAATGTACATTTACTGATCCCATGAGAGGGCATTGCTGGTGGCTGTGGGTTTTTGTTTTTAGTTTTTGTCACAAATATGCTGAATAATTTATAATTTCCTTTCCCTAATTTTTTTAACCATATATATGCAGCGTTTCGATATTGTGAATGGTGTTGTTGAAGCAGAAGGAGCTACTAATGAAGCTGCAATGGACCAAGAAGAGGATAAGGCTGCTGAAGGTATACTCTCTGAACATCACCATGGGACTCTCTCTATTGTGTCAATATTCTTTTTGGGGCTTTATTTTGAATGTGGTACACTTAATGCAGAGAAAGGAGTACCTGATTTCTGGCTCACTGCAATGAAAAATAATGAAGTGCTAGCTGAAGAGGTTTGTTATTTTAATACAAATATATATGTCTAGTTTGGTACTTCCGAATTCATAAAAAAATTTGGTCTCAAACCTTTTTTTACTTGGAATCAGATTACTGAGCGTGATGAAGGAGCTCTCAAGTATCTTAAAGACATTAAGTGGTACAGGATAGAGGAACCGAAAGGATTCAAGCTTGAATTTTATTTTGACACCAATCCTTTCTTCAAGAACTCTGTCTTGACGAAGACTTATCACATGATTGATGAAGATGAACCTATTCTTGAGAAAGCTATTGGGTAACTTTGGTTCTTGAGAAACTTATATTGAGAACATTTATCTTTAGTTTTTAGTTTCTTATTCTGTAGTTGGTTAATTTAGAAGATTGTGCACAGTTGTTTCTGGCTGACACTTTTACTAAAATATGAGTTCTGGTGCTTCATAGGACTGAGATTGAATGGCATCCGGGAAAATGCTTGACACAGAAGCTTCTTAAGAAGAAGCCTAAGAAGGGATCAAAGAATGCTAAGCCTATCACTAAAACTGAAGATTGTGAAAGTTTTTTCAATTTTTTTAATCCACCTCAAGTCCCTGAAGATGATGAAGACATTGATGAAGATACTGTATGTTTAACATCATTTCATTTCTACAGATATATGATATTTGATTAATTGTTCTGTGTTTTACTTATTTCCAATTTTCTTGAACAGGCCGAGGAGCTTCAAAATCAAATGGAGCAAGATTATGATATTGGGTGTGTATTCTCTCGTCCAACTAATGTTACATATTGAAATAGTTTTTAGTTGGCAATGTTCTTGTTCTATTTCAGCTATATATAGAATTCTGTCATTGTGATTCAAGTTTCTATAACAATTATGTCGTTGCAACTTCTGACAAAGATGTGGACTGAATTTGTTATCTTTTGGATTCCAAGTTCTTTTTAAACTTATACTATTTATGTTCAAGTTCTATAAGATACTGGTCGTTGGTTGTATGCTGATATTTTGACTCCATAAAGGATCGAGTTATAATTGCTGAATTTATCATTCTGTAGGTCAACCATTAGAGACAAGATTATCCCCCATGCTGTTTCATGGTTTACAGGCGAGGCTATTCAAGGGGATGAGCTTGAAATAGAAGATGATGATGAAGAAGATGAGGATATTGATGAGGATGAAGAGGATGAGGGAGAGGATGAGGATGAGGAAGAGGAAGACGATGATGATGAAGACGATGAAGATGAAGTCAAGACCAAAAAGAAGGTATGGTATTGTATTATTTTTCTGTCAGCTCTATCATATCCTATTTTTACGCCTGAATTTTGAATTTTACAATGAGATCAATTGCTAACTGCTTTGTTGATTTGGCTTGGCTTGAAATGTCGCACTGCAGTCATCAGCTGGAAACAAGGTGCAATAGCTAGTTTAATTACTTGATGATATGATTTACCATATATAATTAGTTGTTTTCAGGATAAAAAACTTTAAACCGTTCTTGATAAGTATGTGTTTGTAAAATTGTAGAAGGGTGGAAGGCTACAAAGTGGAGATGGTCAGCAGGGTGAGAGACCTCCAGAATGCAAGCAGCAGTAGAAGTTGAATGGTGAGGAGCCAGTATATCTTTGTGTGGTTAGAAGTTGTGGTAGAGCTTTACAATTTGTTTAGGGTTTTTAGGGAGGGAGGGAGGGGGAAAGAGGGGTTTGCAGTTTTGGGGGGTTCTTTATAATTACATTGATTTAATGTTATATTATGGATGATTATGGATTTGGAAGATCCTTCTTTCCTTTCTTTTTCTTGGTTCGTTGGTTGTGAGAGAGTGTGGGGGTGCGTGGTGGGTGTGCTTCGCGATGTATGTTGGATTCTTTCTTATGAGAATGTTTCAGCAACTTAATTTATCAATGTATTGCTAGTTTATTTTGTTTTTATCATTTATTAACAAAGCTTACTTAGGCACGTATATCTCAATTGATCTTGGTAATTCAATTGCTAATTTCCATATGCTAACAATCCTCGCAACTGTCTATTATTTAAATTTAAAAAACTGAAGAAAAAGGAGGCTTGTCAAACCCAAATCTGAAAATGCCTATAGGCGGTTCGCTCAGCTCAAACGTCTGTGTGGAGAGTGAAAGTTACATTAAAGGGTATTTGATGACGTTAATTTATAATTTTATGCTAAGCCGAAACATGTAAATAACAATTTTGTAAGCGCTGAAAATGCTTGTTCTCATTTGGGTTTCGTTTTTTATACGTAATACATTAATATAATAAAAAAACAAAAAATAATATTTGGAATATACTTTGTTATGTTTGAAAAAGTAGGGTTGATGTAGAGTTTTGTCAGCGTAGGGTAGTCAAACTTGGGAAGGTTTTGCGACTATCAGACACGATATGGCATGAATGACGTAAGTGGCATGCCACTGTCAGTGCCGTGGATAAGTGTCAGGTTAGCGAATGGTTGGAAATCTTTCACGTGTTCAATCCCGGGGAAGTCGGGAAATCACTTGGGCAGGTGAGCAATGGGACGTAGAGAAGGATTTGCACGATACCTACGAACTTGCAGGTTTAGTAATCATTACCTTGGTTTATCCCACTATAAATAGAGGTCTCCCTCTCATTTGCGGGATTAACTAATTTCACTTGAATAGCTACTCTCTCTCTCTCTCTTGTTTCTCTAGCTGGAACTCAGCTCGCTGAATGCGACCTGACCTTACTCTCATTAATACAATATCAGTGGACGTATGATTTGCTTTTGAACATCCGAAACACTTTAAACATTGCCTTTCACTCTTTATTATTAAATATCATATCGCGTGTAACTTCTAAGTTCGCTTAGTATTTCTTACGTGCGGATAGTTGGTGTCAAATCAAGTATCAACAGTTTGACGCTAGAAGTAGGGGTGAGCACGGGTAGCGGGTAGAACCGAAACGGGGGTAAGAAACGGAACCGGAACCGGAACCTACCCAAACCTGCACTGTGCGGGTAGGTTCCGGTTCCAATTTTTTGGAACCGCTACTGTGCGGTTCCGGTTCCGGTTTTACCCCCGGAGGAACCGGAACCGGAACCGGAACCTGTAAAAAGGGTACCTGTTTGGAACCTGTTGGAACCTGTTTTGGAACCTGTTTGGAACCGTTTGGAACCTGTTTGGAACCTGTTTGGAACCTGTTTTGGAACCTGTTTGGAACCTGTTTTGGAACCTATATTGGAACCTGTTTTTGGAACCTATTTAGAACCTATTTTGGAACCTGGACTATAATGAAATATTTGTGAAATGTAAATAATGGGGGAGTTTCTATTATTTTACATATAAAAAAATTTAAAATAGAAAAAGTTAAATTTTTAGAATAACCTAATTAAATAAATATACGAATACAATTATACTTATTACATATAATTACACCATATTAAAAGCTTTAAATATTATAATACATTAATATTAAAGTTTTGATCAATTAAGTGAATAATTGGAATTATGATCCAATTAAAAGTGTTTTACATTTTTAATGTTATTAAAAGAATTATTTTGAATTAAATAGTATATTTGATTGAGTAATAATATATTTAGTATTACTTCAATTATCAAGTTCTAAGTATATCTATAATAAATTAGTAATTAATTAATTATAATGATAAATGATAAACATTAATAAATTTAATTACTAGTTAAATATCATACTAATCAATTATAACATTACATTATAGTTAAATGATTACTTAATTAATTATAATTTTATAAACATTACTTAATTGATTTATAGTATAATTAATTATAGCATTACATTAATTGAATAACTATTAATATTGACTTATTATAAAATTAGTACAAAATTAATTAAATGATTAAAAAATTAATTAATTATAATATTACATTAAATTTAAGTATGATTATTTAATAGTTAATTCCATAACATTACATAGTATGATATATAATAATTATACATTACATAATTAAATAATTACTAATTGATTATGAGTTATGATATTATGTTTTAAAATTAGTAATTACTAATTGCTACATAAAATTAACCAATACTTAATTAAATGATAAGAAATTTAATTAATTATAACATTACCTTATAAACATTCATTAAAACATTAATTAAACATACATTATAGTTAAATAATTACGCAAATAAATTATAAATATTATATTACATTATATATTATGATCACTACTAATTATAGATTACATAGTTAAAATATATAATTACATAATTAGTTTAGAATTATAACATTACATTATAACATAGTAATTTACTAATTTACATATTATTACATTACTAATTAAACGATTAAAAATTTAATAATTATAACATTACCTTATATATTATAATATAATACTTAATCAATATAACTTCTATTATAAACATTAGTATATTAATCAAATGATTTGAAATTAATTAATTATAATATTAAATTATAGATTTATAGTATGATATTTAATTCATTTAACATTACATTATACTATTATAGTATGATCATATAATTATATAACATTACAAATTAAATAATTACTTAATTAATATGAGTTATGATATTATATTTTAAAAATGTAATTACTAATTTACTATAAAACATTAGCACAATACTTAATTGAATGATAAGAAATTTAATTAATTATAACATTATCTTATAAACATTCATTATAAACCTAATTAAGCATTACATTATAGTTAAATAATTACTCAATTAAATAAATTAATATATTACATATATTATGATTACTTACTAATTAGATTATACAGTTAAATGATTACATAATTACTTAATTAGTTATGAATTTATAACATTATATTATAAACATTAGTAATTTACTATACTATACATTACTTAATTAAACGATTAAAATTTAATTAATTATAACAACTTTATTATTTGTAATAATTACTTAATCAATTATAACATTCCATTTATAACATAGTATATATTAAAGATTTGAAATTAATTAATATAATATTAAATTATAGATTTGTAGTATGATACTTAATTCATTATAACATTACATTATACTGTTATAGTATGATCATATAATTAATATAACATTACATAATTAATAATTACTTAATTGATTTGGTTATGTATATATTTTAAACATTAGTAATTACTAATTTACTACATAAACATTAGCACAATACTTAATTAAATGATAAGAAATTTAATTAATTATAACATTATCTTATAAACATAATAAGCATTACATTATAGTTAATATTAATCAATAAATTATAATATATTATATACATTATTTATGATCACTTACTTAATTATAGCATATATAGTTAAATGATTACATATTACTTAATAGTTAGAATTTATAACATTACATTATATATTTGTAATAGAACTTAATCAATTATAACATTCTATTATAAACATTAGTATATTAATTAAATGATTTAAAATTTAATTAATTATAATATTAAATTATAGATTTGTAGTTGATACTTAATTCATTATAACATTACATTATACTGTTATAGTATGATCATATAATTAATATAACATTACATAATTAAATAATTACTAATTGATTATGAGTTATGATATTATATTTTAAACATTAGTAATTACTAATTTACTACAATAAACATTAGCACAATACTTAATTAAATGATAAGAAATTTAATTAATTATACATTACCTTATAAACATTAATTAAGCATTACATTATAGTTAAATAATTACTCAATTAAATTATAATATTATTATATTACATTATATTATAATCACTTACTTAATTATAGCATTATATAGTTAAATGATTGCATAATTACTTAAAGTTATGAATATAAAATACATTATAACATTAGTAATTACTACTATATACTTACTTTATTAAACGATTAAATTTAATTAATTATAACATTACTTTATTATTTGTTATATGATTACTTAATCAATTATAACATTCCATTATAAACATTAGTATATAATTAAATGATTTGAAATTTAATTAATTTAATTTAATATATAGAATGTAGTATGATTACTTAATTCATATAAACATACATTATCTGTATAGTATGATCTATAATTAATATAACATTACATAATTAAATAATTACTTAATTGATTATGAGTTATGATATTATATTTTAAACATAGTAATTACTAATTTACTACATAAACATTAGACAATACTTAATTAAATGATAAGAAATTTAATTAATTATAACATTACCTATAAACATTAATTAAGCATTACATTATAGTTAAATAAATACTCAATTATATTATAATATATTATATTATATTTATATAATCACTTACTTAATTATAGCATTATATAGTTAAATGATTGCATAATACTTAATTAGTTATGAATTTAAACATTACATTAAACATTAGTAATTTACTATACATTACATTACTTAATTAAACGATTAAAAATTTAATTAATTAAACATTACTTATATATTGTAATATGATTACTTAATTAATATAACATTCTATTATAAACATTAGTATATTAATTAAATGATTTGAAATTTAATTAATTATATATTAAATTATAGAATTGCAGTATGATTACAATTCATTATAACATACATTATACTATTTAGTATGATCATATAATTAATAAACATACATAATTAAATTATTACTTAATGATTATGACAATATTTATAAACATTAGTAATTACTAATTTGCACATATTTATCGAATTATTAAATT